AAATATATATATAAATATATATATAAAAAATCCGATTAGGTTATAATAAAGCTTAGCGAAAATTTATAAGCGAAAAATAAAATCGCAAATTATATTTTTAATAGGTATATTAGGCTATATAAAGCTTATTAGCGTTTATTAAAATTTTTTATATATAATTTATTTTTAGCCGTTAAATCGCTTAATATTTATTTATTTAATTAGGATAAATTAACGTTTAAGCCTAAATCGGGTAAGGCTACGGTTTAAAAAAAATTAATAATAGCCGGATAAAGCTAATAGCTTAAATAAATTTTTATCGAAGCTTTATAAAATTCCGTAATATATTTTATTTAAATTTTTTTTTAATATATAAATAAAATAATTCGGATTCGTTTTAGGTTAAACGGAAAAATAAAAGCTATAACGCAATTAAAAAGATATAATAGGTTAATTTTTAGGCCGGTAAAAAATTTTAATTATACCTATTATTTATTATTATTTCCGGCGCGAAAAATTTTAATAATTTAATATTTTTTCGACGGCGAACGGTATATTATATTTAAAAAAACCTATAAAGCGAAAAAATTAATTAAGGACGACCGGTATTAAGAATATTTTTTTAAAAAATTAAAAAATTTTTTAAACAGAAAATAAATAAAGGATATTTTTTATTACGCTTTATTAATTTAAAAAATCGATAATTTTTTATATATTTAAAAAAAATTTTATAAATATTTATATAATAATTTTTTTAAATAAATCGATCGTTTAAGCGGTTAGCCGGCTATTATTAAAAGCTTTTATTTAAATTATAATTTTTATTTTATATATTATTAATTTTTTTAAGCGTGCCGTAAAAATTTATTAGGCTGTTTTTGGCGGTATTCGATTAAGGATTTATAATTAATAATTATTTTTTATTAACGGAATTCGATTATAATCGGGCCTATAAAAAACGAATTTTGCTTTAAATTTAGCTTAATTTAATAATAAATAATAAAAAGCGTTTAATTATATTATAAAGGCTATTTTAATAAATCCGTTTAGCGTATATTTTTATTTATAAAAACCGGCTAAAATAAAAAAGATTTTTTTATATTAAACGTTTTGCTATTATTACCGTTTTTTTAATAATATAATTTTTTATATAGTATTATCCGGTATTACCGCGCTATTATTACTAAAAGGTAAAATTATTTATTTAAAATTTAAAATTTTTATTTGATTTTATTCGGATTTTATTTATATTATTTTGCGAAAAATAAATAAAGCTTAGCTTTTTTAAAAAATAGCTTTTATTATTTAAAATAAAATAATTATATAAAATAAATATTATTTTAATGCCGTTAATAAAATTTTACGCGATATATAAAGCGTAAATTATTTTTTCGGGGATATATTAACTTTATTAAATAGCGATTTTGCCTAAATCCTGCTTATAATATATAAAAATAGCCGCGCTTAAATAATTAAAACCTATTTATAAAAATCGAATATTTAAGCCTAAATACGAAAGCTATTTTTAACGGAAAATATACGTTTATTATAAATAAAACCCGAAAATATAACGTATACCTAATAATTAGATTTTTTTTTTATTATTTACGTATAAACGGTTTTATCCGTTTATTAAACTTTATTAGGGTTTTCCGGCGTTAAAACGATTTATTTAATTATATTTATTTGCGCCCGACGTTAATTAGCGCCGTAACGCAGCTAAATATTTTCGCTTATAAAGCGATTTTTTGCGTTTATAATATTTAAATAAATAATATAAACGAGGTTTTTTTAAATCGTATACCCGGGGCTATTAAAAAATATAATTTAAAAAACGAATTTTTGCCTAATAGCCTTTTTAATATCGAATTGCCTTTTACAAAATATTTTAATTTATTAAAATTTTTTAAAATGCCTCCGGCTAAATTACGGCTTAAAATAAAAGTTTTTATTATACTATTACGCAATTTTTCCCTAAATACGGAAATATATAATAATACCCGTTTTACTATTATTAAGCTTTATTAATATATTATTAAAGCTAAAATATTCGGCGGTAGGTTTTATAAATAAATAAAGCCGATTTTACGTTTATAGCTAAATTAAAATAAAAACGATTAGCCGTTTTTATAGTCCCGTAAATAATTTCTAATATAATTTAGTTTTTTTATAATTATTAATAAATTTTAAAGGTAATTTTTTAATATAATAGGTATTAATTTATAAACGTAAATTTTTATATACGGCTAATTTTATATAATAATATCCTAATTAACAAATATCGGGAAATTAAAAATTTTATTAAACGAAAAAATTACCGTTATAAATAATATTATTTATTTAAAAATATTAATATTTATAAAAAAAAAAGTATAGCTAAATATTTAAATTATATAAATTAATTTTAGCGTATTTGGGGAATTTTAAAATTTATTATTTATAATAAATTTTAATTTATATATTTAATAAAAATAATTAATTTTTAAAAAAATAAAATCGGTTATAAAAATAAATTTTTGGGCTAAAAAGGTTAAATTTATAATTTTTATAAAATTATTTAAAATATATACGCCGGCTTTATAAATATTATTACCGCTAAAAAATATTTATTTTCGCCTGATTAAAATCGGAAATTTCCGAAAAACGTTATATAATATTAAACGCTAAAAATATAAATATTAAAAAGTTTATAATTTAATTTATTTTAAAAAATATATAAACGGTTATAAAAATAATTAAAAAATACCGATTATCGTCGAATAAAGCCGGAAATATATAATAAAAAAAATATAAAAATATGCGAAAAATTTTATAATATAATTTGCTTTAAAAATAAATTATCGACGCCGGAAATAATCGGAAAAAGCCGAATATAATCGAAAAAGGTTATAAATTTTTATTAGTTTTTTAATAATTTTAGTTAATATATAATTATAAAATATTATTTAGGTTAAAATTACCGGTCGTATAAGGTTAAAAAATGCCGAAAAACGCTTAAAAGTCCTTTTTTTTTAAAGGCCTTTTTCGAGCTGCGCTTAATAAAATTTTTTGGGTAAATTAGCGGTCGGAAATTATTAAAAAATTATTTTCGTATATTTATTAAAGCGGTAAAAATATTATTTTTTTAATTATTATAATAATAATTATTATAAATTTTATTTCCGATTTTTTTTATAACCGTATAAAATTAAAAAAAGCTATTACGCTTCGTATAACGCTCGTAAGCCTCCGATTTAGCTAAAAAAACGCCGAAAATAATTATTAAACCGGTTTCGATATTAATAGTATTAACGCTATTATTTTTTTTATAATTAATATTATTCGTTATTTTTCGGGGTTAAAAACGGTTAAAAACGGTTAAAAATTTATTTTAAATTAAAATTTAGCTAAATATTAATATTAATACGATTATTATTAGGATAAATTTAAAATATATTTTAAAGCGAAATTTTATTTTAACGTTACCGTAAATTATCGTTAATATATTTTTAATAATTTTTAATATTTTCCGGAATTAGCAAATTTATTATATACCTAAAATTTGCCGATTATTTTAATAAATTTAAATATATTATTAAAAATTTTAAAAAAGGCGAATACGGTTAAATTATTTTATTTAGGGATTTTCGGGCCTTTATAGCTATTATAAAAAATAAAAATAAAATTTTTTTTTATTTTAGCGTTAATCGTAATTTTTCCGATTTTTTCGGCGTTATAAAAAAATAAAAATTGCTTATTATTTCGTAAGTTTTTAATAAATATAATAATAGCGCTTATATCGATAGCTTTAAATTTACGCTTAACCGGGGTCGAAAAAGCCTTTTCGGTTACGGAAAAAATCGGAAAAGGCTTTTATGCCTTTTTTAACGTTTTAAAATCGTAAATACGAATTTTTGCGGCTTTAGCACGGGATTCGGCAGTTTATTTTTTAGCTTTTTCGCTTTTATAATTTTATTTATAATTTTTAGCTAAAATCTATATTATTCGGGTTTTTTCGTTTAAAGCCGAGGTTTTATTATAAAATTATTTAAGTTTTTTTTTAATTTAGGCTTTAGTTTTTTTAAAAGCTATAATTAATCGGCGTAAAAAGGTATTAAAAGCGCCCGAAAAGCGTTAATTGTCGTTAAATATAATTAAAATAATCCGGAAATACGGCTAAAAAAAATAATAATATATAAAAATTATATAAAATATCGTTAATATTAATTTTATATTTTTTAGTGCCGGAAATAATTAAAAAAAACGTAATAGGAATTTAGGGAATTTAAAGCCGTTAATATAAATTAATTATATTTAATTTACTATTATATATAGCTTTATTTAACGTTATTTTATCGTAAAAAATATAAAAAAATTATAATCGACGTAAAATTAATTTTAAAAGCCGAATATAGCGTTAATATAAATCGGTAATATTTATAAAATAAAAAAGCTATAATCGTTATAAATATAATAGCATTATATAATGCGGTTATTAGCGTTAAAATTGCGCCTAAAAGCGTATATACGCCTAAATAGCCGTATTTAATCGCAAAAATATATAAAAATAGCTATAATAAATTTAATTTACGCGTAATTACGTAATTAAAATTAGGCTTAATTAGGAATTAAATATTTTAATTAAGGTTAATTATAATAATTACGATAATTTTAGCAATTACGTAGGTTTTTCGGCTATATATAGATTTTTAATAGCAAAAGCGATTTTATATATTTGCGACCTTTTATAGTGCTTTTAAGCTTAATTATTTTAATATTATTTACGATTTTAGCGTTACCGCGGTTTTTTTATAATTTACGGTATTTTTAAAATTTTAGATTTTGCTATTATTTACGGTATTATTATTATTTACGGTATTTTTTAATACCTAGATCTTGCTATCGGTCGCGGTTTTGCTATTATTAATATTTTTTTTGCGTAAGCAAAAAAAATCTGGCTGACAGGGTCAGCTAGTCTATTGATAGTTCAACTTTTTTCCCTTTACCGAGCCCAGCGACATCTGCCATAGCAAGTCGCAGTCATGTCAGTATTTCCCCCTGCAGAGATCCAAGAGATCCTTGACGAAGTGACGTCGCTCTTGAAGTCCCGGAATGAGACGGTCTCCGTAGCAGAGACAGCCGCGGGTGGCTTGATAAGCAGCTCGCTACTCACAGCGGCCGGCGCCAGCGCGTACTACAAGGGCGGCCTGACTCTCTATACACTGCCGTCGCGGATTGCGTACGCAGGCTGGACCCAGGAGAGTACCAAGGGATACAAAGGACCGACGACGGATATTGTAAGCGGCATGGCAAAGCATGTTCGCAAAGACTTGGGCAGCACATACACAATATCGGAAAGTGGCACAGGTAATTATCCGTACCAAACCTCATCTCATTGTCCCCGACGATGACTGATCTGTTCAAGCTGGCCCGACTGGTGGTGACACGCCAAATCGTACGCCTGGTTATATCGCTCTTGCAGTAGACTCGGACAAAGGGACCTTTGTGAGGGAGTTGAACACGGGTCTTGGCAATGATAGGACTGCCAACATGGTGAGATTTGCCGTGGAGGCACTGAAGCTGCTCAGAGATGTCATGACGGACCAAGCCAAACTCTAGGCAAGATAAAGCGCGTCACTGGAATCTATTTTAGTCGAAGTGTGATTGAACGTCGCAAAGATCGGATCAGATTAATCGCTCTATCAAGACTCATATGGATGTTTTCTGTGCCGATTTGAATCGGATGAAGAACGGGGGCCTCTCCCAAAACACGAGAAATTTGAAATCTCTCTCAAATGATACATCCTGGCCGGGATCCAATTCTAGGTCAAATTGCCACAGGACTTTGGCTGCAAAGAGTCGAAGGACAGACGATGCAATGTGTCCACCAGGGCAGCCTCGGACGCCCTGACTAAAAGGTTTCGAGGCCTTTAAATCGTCGTTTTCAAAGCGTGCATCGTATCGCGGGTGCCCGCGCGGCAGCCACCGTTCTGGGCAGAATCTGAGTGGTTCCGCAAAGAATCGCGGGCTCCTTGCAGCTGCGAAATAGCTGATTTGGCATGTGACCTGTTTCGGTTATACATTAGCTATGATGAAAAGCCCGCAAGACCGTATGCCTATGCAGCATCCGAAATACCTACTCCTGACGGTATGTATGTGCCATCCACGATCGCGCCAGGACTGATCCTAGGTAATCCGTCGACTGTGTCCTGGTGCAAGCGAAAGCTCTCATTTGTAGAGCTTTTGAGATACTCCAACTTGGTCGTACTCTCAGAGGTGATATCATCGTAGTTCAAGAATGCCGCCCGCACTTCCTTTACCACCGCTGCATAGGCTTGTGGCTCGCCGAGAAGGAAGTAAAGGAGACTATAGAATTGGTTGGCTAGAGGTTGCCAGCTAGCAATCAGCAGCTGTCCCAATACATTTTCCAGATGATAGATTTCTTTCTTTCCATGAGGTACAGGTTTGTCGGCGGGAATAAGTTGCTCGAAATAATCTGAACCTGAATGATCCCTCTGGTTGCGAAGTTCGATGCGCGCCTTGATGTTTTCGGAGTTCATGGCCATCAGTTTCGGGAGCGTGAACCAAATCGACGGCGGTATAGTTAGGTACATCAAAGGACTAAGGATGCGGAATTTTCTCGTAATCTGGCTCATAGCCAAGAAGAAATTCAACTTCAGGGTGGACTTTAGCGGAATCGAATCCCTCACTGTTCCAGATCAGTGCCTTGAAGCCCCCGGATGTTCTGCGCGCACCTACTATTCAGCATCTGATCCATCTTGACGCTGTACGTCATGTCCATTGAAAGGTCCAATGCCAACCAATCTGACCACTGCTGCATTTCGGCCCCTCGTTTTTGGGTGCCAACTTCGAGCATCCTTTGAACAAAAGTATCGATATGCCTATGCACAATTGGCTCTTTGGCTTTAAAATTTCGCATACTGAAAGCAGGGGCTACCCTTCGAGCAATTTCATAATGTCTTGAAGGGTTGGGTTCGCCAGATATGCCCCCATCACCAGTGTCGACTGCATCATAACCGACTTGGACAAACAGTTCGAGGTGTTTTTCCTGCGCAAGATATATATCTAATTGTCCATTTGAAATCAATCAATGTATTGCCAATTGTGCTGAGCATGCGTTTAGCTCACCTTTTGCAGCTTGAGGAGTTACAAAGACGAGCTCATTCGGAGCAATACGGACAATATCTCCTATGTGCCGATTAGTCGCCTGTCAGAGTTACTGCATCAAAACCAGGACTTCAACCATATTTCTTCAGTGCATCTTCAATGATCCAGGGATATCTTCCAGATGTACTTAGAGATCCACATGTCAGCTGTGATAAGTACATTGGAAATGGAGTCAAGTCTTAAGCGGAGCAGTAGAAAACGTACGAAGAAAAGGCCCACCACAGATCGGTGATGGCTGCGAGTTTTGGCCCTGGATATTTCGCAAGCGGATGGAAATAGACGTTGTATATACAGCGGCTGACACCATATGTCAAGGTCTTGATAATAGAATTAAATCAGGTCTGGTCGTATGCTTATGAGCGGAGCAAATAAACTTACAGCAACAACAGTAGCCACAAGCGCTTGAGCGCCGAACAATTGGACACCCTCGCGAACAAAGTTGAAAAGATCCATACTCGAGTCCTTCAAATTGGGTCAATACTCGAAGAGTATTCGTTTTAGTATCCTGGGCCAAGAAAAGCTTACAACAACGGTGGAAAGCAATCTTGAGACCAGCGCAATTTTTATTCCGAAGGATTGCCAACCATGCGGCACAGTGCTTAGTCCCCACCAAATGGCTTAAATCCTTCTAATTTCGAATAGCCTCAGCCGCAATACTGGCTGACGACATGCTGGCACCCCTGCAAATTCCTGGCTTGAGCAGCGTAAAAATGAAAGATATTGTTACCTGAATCGCGTTTCGTTCAGGTTCTATTATCTCCTAAAAACCCTCGGATAACTACTCACAATTCTCGCTGGGGGTTATTTTCTTCTTCTTTTTGTGTCTCATTGTAATCCTTCCAATTTGTTTCAGAGCCAGTTGGTACTGGCTCAGTGACACCAATCTAGATAGACATTGGAGGCTCAGGCCCACTGCTTATAGCCAGACCTTCTGTACTCATACAGCAAGAGAAAATGTCTCGAATTGATCGGGCGCCTCCCCAAAGCTTACAATTGACTGATTCACCATTGAATTAATCGTAGACAAGTATGAAGTCACAATGCTACAATATTGTTCCATAACAATCAATTTAGCTGATCCGTAGCATTAATGATAGGATGACTATAGTAGCAAGCCAGTGTGATCTCTATGTGCCCTTGGTCTTCCAAACCCGACAACGCATCAATTGCCATTAGAGAAATGGCACTTCGTCAAGATAATGTGTACTAGGACCATCTAACAGGGATTGACTTGAATCAACGCAATCAGAATAATGCCTTTGCTTGACTACTACACAACAAATCCGAATATGTAATCACCATTGAGCTAAATTATGCCGTTGCTGACTCTGCAAGTGGGCAAAAGACGACGGCGACAACATCAGGTGTAGCCGGCACTATAACAGATCAGTACCACATATTTTATTTTCCTTGGAGAGTGTAGTATGAAAAAGCTCACGAGGAAGTGTGGGACGGCCACAACCAATGAGGCACAGTCGCAGCTGGGCAATCGCCCTCTCAACCGGACGGACGCAGTACGGTGGAGGCGGATAAATAGCAGGACAGACGAGGTGGGTCGCTTTCTGGAGGGCCTTGAGAAAATCGGCAACACAGCCTATGACACAGGCATCGTTGGGAATGATGGGAAGTGGAAGCGTCGGGAGAGGAGGGCAGCTGGGCACAATGGTGGGGGTTGGAGCAACGATTTCAGAGATTGTAGCTGTTGGCACTGAAATGCTGGCAGATATGGTAAGTGCGGCGACGGCAACACTCTGCGCGAGAAGAAAAGATGTCCACTTCATGTTCAAATCGGGGAGTTGGGAAACTTGCTGTTGGGTATAAGTTTTCAGTGATGCTTGAACTATTGTATCCGGAAAGAACTGAACGGCTCACCTTTTATAGACCTTTTTGACGTTATGAGCTAATCTCGCGATATTGAGTGTCTTGAACCGGTAACACACTTGACACTCCTAGGCATCAAGAAACGAGTGAATGGATATGGTACTACTACTGGCCATGGAAATCAAGGTTGAGACATGAACAATCCGACGCATCGTGATTGGTTCTTGTCATCTCGGTATTTGACTTGCCAAGATGTAAGCTGTATGATATACCAACCCTGATTAGACGGAAGGTTAACATGTTTCACTGTATGGTAGGATAACACCACCACTGCATATCAGCCTTTCAGCTCTGGGAAACACCAACTCTACGAAAGATGATGACGGGACTTTTCCTTGCAACAACAACGCAATCTTATAGGAAGGATTTGACAGGCTCGCTGGTTCCGAGCGGCTACCATGTTTGAAGGACTTGGGTCTTCGAGAAGCCTTTCTCTACCCTGTATTCAGTTCACGTTCAATAATTCTTCCATCGATTCGGCTCTTTGATGAGTTCCTTATGCTATGCGGCGAGAATTTGGAACTAGTTGACTTGGTATTGACATTGGCGTTTCTTGTTTCACTTTTCCGTGCGCCGGATTTTCCAGAACGGATTTTCCTTGAAGGTGGAAAGATGACCTCGTAATAGCACGGTACTTAAGCAACCGTCCTTCGAGATGTGCGGCATACGGACGTTGGCAATTAAGTTTCTGGGCGCTGAATGACAACCATCGCTTTGCGACACATCCCGTGTATATGATCCCGAAATGGCATCACGAATCATGCTCCAAGAAGCAATGTGCATCTGCGAATAGTCGAATCAAGTATGAAAAGGCCATGTAGTGGACTTGGGTATCAGAAAAGGAGGCAAAGAGTAAGACATTTCAAGATGGATGTGAGTTGGAGTTCCCCAGCAATGGTGCCAAACGGATTGTGTTAGAATGCTTTTGACTCTTCGTGAGAGGCCTGGGAGAAAGCTGAAGTATGCTAACAATACGAAAACGGAACCATGATCTGAAGATCGGCGTGACATCACCCTGAAAGGCATATAATCACTATTGTCCTTAAGCCATAGCGTTTGTAACAGTCCAGTGGTGACTTTGCGATAAACTCAGATCTACAATGACAAAGCTACGTGAATCCCAATAAACCATGAGCAAGTGAAGTCGATATTATATAACAAGAACCTTGCCACCAGCCTTGAAAGGAACTGCAGCTTCCAGCACCTTCCGTATATCCCTCAGCGGAAAGACTTGGCGAATACTGGTGCTGATAACCCCAGAGGTGATATTCGATGCAACAAGCGAGTATTTACTCTGCACAGCTTTGATATCCTGAGAGTAAACCCATTCCCTGAGGTGGAAATGTGAAAAGTTTACTTGGGGATTCGTTATCCAGAATGACCCTGGAATAGTCCTTTCAGACAGTAGCCCATAATGAACAAAGTGACCACCAACTCGAAGAGCTGATCCAAGCACCAGCGCTTGTTCACCGCCGACACAATCGAGAATGGCATCGAGATGACCGACCTGCGCTAATCGTGAAGCCAACTCGACATCATCGACAGCCAGAATCACAGCCTCGAGCTGACCACGAAGAATATTACGCGAGCTCTCAGAGCGAACAATTGCTACGGGTCGAACGCCTGCCGCATTCGCGATTGCTATAAGCATTAGCCCGATTGAAGACGCTGCCGCAGTGACTGCGATTCGCATTCCCGGCTTTACGCCGATCTTGTCGTGCAGCATCAGCCACGCCGTCATTGGATTGATGTAGCTAGTTGCGGCAGAAAAGTCGGACAAGTTGTCTGGCACGTGCAGACACCAGTCTGGATCCGCGTCCACGAATTGCTGCCATGCTCCAGCACTACGCAGTGGTACTACTCTCGTTCCTTGCGGCAGACTAAGGACGTCATCGCCACACTCCTCAACAACCCCAACTGCCTCGAAACCGGGAACAAATGGTAGTGTTGTGCGGCCACTATAGGCACCAGAAATTGTGACGATGTCCGAGGGGTTAATGGGTCGAGCGAGTATACGTAGTCTCACTTTATCACGGGCAAGCGCCGGCAGCTCTGCCAGTTGTAAATCCACCACGTCCTCGGCCGCTCCGAAACTGTGAATGATTGCCTGATACTGCATTTTGACCGCGGGCTGGGGCTCTAAACTCGGCCGATTCGATTACTAAGAACGCATTTGCTCAACATTGAGGTTTCGGGGTTACGAAAGGGAAGATCGACATCAACGGCTTGCGGTCCTCCCAGTTTGCCGTGCTGAGGTCTGCGCAAGTCGTGCTGGTGCATACGCCAAGGCCGGCCGCTCGCGGGGAGAAGTGACGAGGGCGGGCGTTGAGTGGATGTGATTCCAAAAAAAAGGTATAATAAATTCCATATATGAGCAGCATTGACAATAAGGTCACTACTTATGCGCAATCGCAGAGTGCCAAGGAATTGGTCGTGACCTATACCAGCGTCCGTGCGCGAAGACGAAGAGTGTGAGTAAAAGGGAGAGGGAACTGGGAGACGGTGGCTTTGCAATTAATTTATTTCAGAGTTACAATCCTATGTCATGGTCCAAGAGCGATCCGCATACCGCATGTCAAGTCATTGTTCAAATCTAGTGTGCACAAGTCTATTTAGTGGATATGCCACGCTTATAGGATGTTTACAAGGCCGCCTTCATCTTGCTTTGCTTGGCGAGATGTCTTATGAGGAAATCTACCTGCTTGGCCATGATATTCTCGAATCCTTTGCCGCCCAGCAAGTCCATGTGGCCCTTTTCTGGCACCGATTGATACTCCTTGGGCCCTGTAAGCCTGTTAAACAATGCCTTCTGCTTCTCTGGCGGAGACATGTAGTCGAGCTCTGCAGTGACTATCATCGCTGGTGTAGGCGCGACAAGCGGTATCAGGTCGTATGGCCTCCACGTGGAGATGCGATAGTGGCTCTGGACAGACATTTCATTGCAGTAATTCTCAAACATTGCCGCAGAGCGCTCGGCCACACCGTACTCAATTAGACTTGTGCCGGCACCCCACCCAAAGGGGCAGTTGCCGTCCTTTTGGACGACGGGGACATAGCGAGGCGCCTTGCCGGCCAGCTGTGCGGCGCGATCCTCCATGGCAGCAGCTAGCATTTCCCGCAGGCCGTCCTCTGGGTACGAGAGGTCCGTCAGAGGCGAGACGGCAATGACGCATCTCGCTCGCTTGTCCAGCGCTGCCGCGTTGAGGGCGACGACGCCATTGAAAGAAAAACCCCAGAATCCGATGCGGTCTGCGCCCACTTCGGAAAGCGTCTGCAAGTAGGTCAGGGCATCGTGCAAGTCGGCCACGTGCCTGGATGGGTCGATATCGCGCCGCGGTGACCCATCACTTTCGCCCAGGCTCCGAGGATCAAATGACAATGCCGTGATGCCGGCAGTTTGAAAATGTTCAGCCACCTTTGGTACCAGAATCTCCTTGATGAAGCTGAACTAGAAGGGAACGTTGAGCACAATATGGCTGGTGGGGTCAGAAGGTGAGTCGCCATGACTTACTCCCGGTAAAAGAATCACTGCCGGTCCTAATTGCCCGCCTTTTGCCAAGTAGAGGTGACCTCGTAGTGTCAAGCCATCAAGTGTGCGGAAGGATACTTTTTCATACGCCATGAGTCTGAATTATTGAGATCAGGTTACAGAACTTGGTCGAAAAGTTCATGTCTCAGCTCCCGCCCGCTGTCAGCGCCATTGAGGGGTGTCCAGCCGCGGCACAGCAACGTTGCTTTATTGCGATATAGTCAGTCATTGGCTGGCGAGACCTGCTGTGGCGTTTGCGGGGTCCCTGCTGAAAGATGTGGGAAGCGGAGAATGGATGATATAGTCCACGGACCAGATAGCAAGAATTGACAAAGGGAGCACTCTCTTTTAATTGACCTCTGTAAATGCCTTGTGTATATCAGTATCATGGGAAGGGATTTCGAGCTGCTGTGCACTCTGATAAGCCTCGAGAGCTCACCACTGCATCTGAGCGATGTGAGATGATGGTCATCACATACGGTAGAGTAGTGCATGTGATCGAAACATGTCAAAAGCAAGATGACCAATTCCATTTAACGTAGACACAAAAGCTTTTTTCAGAATTCCTCACATAATTTCCCGTGTTCAGAGGTACAAGTTGTAATCTTCTGGCTACGGTGAACAGTTACAATAGACGCTGTGCCTAACCAAAGATTGTCCGCAAGTCGGAATCCTCCATAACGTCAATCCAATGAGTATTGTTTGATCCCGGGGTATCATTGTCATAGCCAGCCCAGACAGCCGTGACCAAATCTTTCGCGACAAGCACCGGCGCTGGTGGCAGACTGTGCTCCAAAGCGCTCAGTCGTTCCATTACGAAGCGTCGTGCATACGTCACTTCAATGGAGAGCCGCGTTACTTGAGGTTCTCCTAATGACGCCAAAGTAATATCTGGAGTTACTGCTGCAGCTTGGGCAAAGCGCCGTTGCTGCAGTAAGGTTTCTGTATCAAATCTTAAGCCAGTACTAGCCGAAAGGTATAGTAGTGGTTGGATACAGCGCGTCCCCGAGGTGACTGGAACTGTCTTCAGAGTATTGACAAGTCGTAATGTCAATGGAACAATCCAGTTGTCCCAAGGAACATGGGACCCCACGGCATCCTCGGGCAGCCTTCGTGATACCAGGTCGGGAAATGTCTGATAGAGCTGCACCAGCGAAGCAAGCCGATAGCCCTCGGCGACATTGATAAAGTCCGACACTGGGGACATGCGATCACCAGTCTCTGATATCTCATGAGGCTGATAGTGCTCCAGGCCGAGCAGTTCCTCTTCCACTTTCTGTGCCTCTCTAATGTCCTTCATTGCAATCTCCAAATTTTGCATGGTAGCGATGGAGCCTTGCCTCAAATTCCACCGGAACCGTCTGCAGAGCCGCACCGCCTGCGTGAAAAGCCGCTGAGCCGTTGCTGACACCCCCGTCCAGGGATGTGGAACTATCTTTTGTGCCATGTCCTTACGCTGGGGTTCCTTGAGCTTTGGAATGCCTAGATCGTCCCTTTCATCTGAAACGACAGCCACCAACATATTCCAATAGATGATGCTGTTATTGAAGAATGATAATATCTGCCTGTCTTGAGCAGATAAATCCTTGGACTGGTTGAGGCGCTTCAGCACAGTCTTGGCTTCTCTTAAAAACTTTGTCCCAAGTTCTGCTGTATCGATCCAACATGCGGCCGTTCCGATGCAACACAATGCAAGGAGTGTCTCGGTTGGGAACTTCTTGACTGGTTGTTCACGAATTAACTTGAGTTCCTTCTGCAAAGCAGTGGTCGCTGATTGAAGGTACGACACCGCTACTCGTCGCATTGCCGGCATCTGACTGCTCAAGCACGTTGCACTCATGCTCTGTAGACAATTCATAACCGTCTCAGAACGGGTCCAGGTATCGAATGCAAGCTTTCGATTCAGGTTGGCATCCGAATCAAAGCTCGACCACATGGGGCATACATTACGAAACCACTCCTCGACAAGCAATGACGAACGGTCATTGATGGCGCGGGGTATCTGAAAGGAGACGGGCTGCTGCGGGTTGGTAGATGGAGTGCCTGGCCATGTGAGCTGCGAGAAAGGATCCCCAGGTCCAGGACTATTGAACAGACAGACCGATTGGTCTAGGAACTGATTTGCGTCTTTGTTGGCTGGTATTGGCTGAGGGACATCCTGCCAAATATCTTGCAGCAAATCCTCAATTCCATAGTCGTATTCCGGCATTATCAACGTGTCGAGTAGCGGAGATAACGAGTTTTGGAAGTCGCCTTGTTGTGTATCTTGCTGTACATCTTGCTGACAGGCTGCTGCTGCTTCGAATTGGCTAGCAGGGGAAGAGTCTGAAGCAGTGGTGCTTTGTTCGTCCTCGAGAACCACCGGCGCTTGTGGTTGTTGTGGTGGTGATTGTATAGTCTTGGACGTGGCGGTCACCAAATCCTTGAGGTTGGACGGCCCTCTGGCTTTGCCGCTCAACGTCTTTTCATGCTTGGTCGACCACTTGAAAGACTGCGTATACCCGGGGCACTTTCGGCCGTTCTTTGCGCACATGAGGCATTCCGGCCTCGTCTCGTCGCATTTGAGGCGTTTTTGTTTGCACAGGGAACAGCCATTTCGAGATCGACTCTTGACTTTCGTGTTTGGGGCCTGTGGCTTATTGTCCATGATCTTGGTCTCGACTCTCGAAGAGGAAATAATACCCGGTACCCGCTCCAGCTGCCGAGTTTATGAGGCAGGGCGCCCAGGGGCAAACTGGAATCGGATTGCTCAGATATCGGAAAACATACGACATTGATGATGAGGGTAAGAATGCTAATTTCATCAGATTTGGGAAAACCTACGAGTGCGTTAAGTAACCCAAACAGACGCCGTGTAAATGCGATGACAGGCGGTCCACAGTGCCACTTATCGGGAGTAGTTAAGACGTCACAGGATCACGTCTACCCGGCAGATACGACAACAGCACATTGGACAGCTGGTCGTGTGGTCTTTACCTACAGTTCCCCGAATCCCCGAACTCGGCATGCGGGTGGGAGGTTGCAGCTTACAGGTAGGTAGGGAGGCGATCAATGCAGCTGGCAGCTATCAACCAAGAGAGACCAGAGATAAACTGCAACTCACTGCAAGACTGCCCCTCCACACTACTACCGGCAAGTGCGGGGAAAACCAGGCTAAAACACTGGCACTGTATGCGCATGCTATGATAATGTGTCTTGGTGATTTGTCTTGCCGCGTCTTCTTATCAGCATCACCTAAACAGGCAATCTTATGCTCCCGTGGGGAGACATGGCGGTCTCTGGACGACAGCTGATACCGATAAGCATTGCCAGTGACGTCTCACCAATACCATGGCTGGCAAGCAGCACTCGGCAGGATATAGGCAGTGGTAGCGCCTCTTGTGTCGTTCCAGGTACGAGGTGATAGATAGCATCGCATACTAGCAATCGACGTTACCCGACTCATGAAGGGCCCCGCTCAATAACATGGCCTTCATTATGGACTTCATGTTTCAGGCGCCGTTTCTCATCCCGTGTCTGATATTCTTATCAATCATCATCCCACTCGTCTTATTACTTGGCGGAAGGAAACGGACTCCTCTGAGCCCGCCCGGCACACCTAACTCCGGGAAACCCTCGCGCGCAAAGAACCCGCCGCGAGAGCCAGGCCAGTGGATTCCCTCCGATTTCGAATTCCCAACCGTGGCGCCTTATCCTGATTGGGACCTCGCTTCTACCAAGCCATTGCCTTACCGTGCGTTCCGATATGGCCCCAAGTATAATGGTAAGTAGCAGTATTCAGACTGTGTAATACTTTTACTTTATTCCATGCTTGTGATTCCGAGCACCCCGAGTTTCATCCGTCCTGTGCTGGATCATCTCTCCTCTTCTCAATAAGCCGGCCTGCATTGTGACCTATAGAAATGCAAAAAAGAAAAAAAAGAAAATTAAAAATGGTGACGATAACAGTGCTTAGCTAACGTGTCGTGATATAGTGAACATGGGCCTGCGCTCAACTCCCTATGATGAATGGATCCAGCTCGATAATCACTATCCAAAATACCACCACGACAAAGCGGAGCGAATCAAGGAACGGGGCAGCAAGTGCTGCGCAACGGCGCCAGAGGCTTACCCTGCTGCAATTGAATTGCTCGAGGAGTTGGTGAATTACTTGCCGAATCGATATCCTTCTCTGTTTCAGCGTACCGATGTCGGAATCGTGAATCTGTGGTCAGGAGAGTCGTTCGACATTACAGAGCGACCACTGAAAGAAGATCCAATGTGCATGGCAGGACGCCTCGTTCAAGATGATTTGGCACTCATGATTGAAAAGCCGGATGGTCAGTACTACCTGCTCGCCGGCTCCATCCTTCTCGCCGGGTTTTGGCGTCTGGAGGACAAAATCAACAAGTGCATGTCGGAAATTCACACCAGTGGCGACGTGCCGCAGTTCAAGGAGAAACTCGAGTCCAGCATGATGAAGTTTTTCTCACGACTCAATTGCCACGAGCTCTACGCACGCAACAACTACTTCATCCAGGTGGACGACTCCCTGCCCTGGTCATGGAGCATCGGTGCCGAGGACGCGCCGGGCTTGAGCTGGCAGACGGCCGAGAAGAACAGGGCGATTGAGCATCACTTTTTCCGGTCGGAGCGTCAAACTCTGCGGAGGCTCCCACAAAGCGGTGCTATTGCTTTTACTATACGAACATACTTCCACCCTGTGACTGGTAAGTGCTCTCATAATATGACCTAGAGGATACACACGAATCTAACCTATGTACAGAAATTGCTCAAGAAGATTATGTGCCGGGACGGCTAGCTAGTGCGATTTGTAGCTGGGGCGACGATGTCAGCCGTTACAAGGGTAAAGAGAGATACGAGGAGGTGCTCCTGGAGTACCTCGATAATGAACACCAGAAACAGATAGATAGAGGACTAGACTTGACGCGCGAAGACGATGTGCGGCAGTTTCCTTGGTGAAGCAGTCTCAAGGGTATAGAATACCATTAGACCCATACATAATTTCAAAAGTATCGTATCTCCTGCCTTGTCTCTAGAACGCGATGTATAGATTTATGATTGGTGACCTCATCACGCGGGTGGGAGTTTCAAGTATCCACCGTAACAACTTGCCTTCAATTCATAATAGCAATAAACATTATAACAACGACTATATTTTTCATATAAAGCTGAAGAATTTCTCTCCAAATTTGAGCAATTGGTGTAGGAAAGTATCGTTTTGTTGTATCAAGAAATGTAATTTAGGCCTACTCAACATCCGTGCTTTTACTTCCATCGACACTTAGCAAGTTCACTTTGTATTCTGTATCTCCATCTCGATGATTCAATTCCTCTATTTATCCAAACACTATACTATCGAGGTGATATTCTCGCCCACTTAGAAGTCACTGTGTTTTCTCTGGCCGCAGTAGAACGCCAGTCCGTAGTTTGAAGTAGTGAATGTGATGGTACTGCCGGCAGGAAAGTAAAAGACGTCCCCCGCGGTAGCCTTCACTGATTGGCCCGTCGCGTCCGTAATGGTCATATCTCCCTCCAAGAAGATCTTCATTTCGTCATATTTGTACGTGTAGACCAAGGGTTCACCCTTTTCGAGCCGGTAAAGTCCCGCGGAAATTGGCTTTTCTGGATTTGTCTTGTCTGAGGAAAACACGTCTCCGAGGTAGGCATTGTCCCCTGCTAGAAGAGGAATCTTGAAGTCTGTCTGAGCTTTCGGGTGGTATGAAAATGGAACTGCTGTGGCGGACATTTTGTCTTGTTGTGGCGTTTTGGATATTTGGTTTGACAGATGGAAAGTCTTCTTTAAGGCTGGTATGATGAGAAGTCTGACAATAGAAATTATATGAATGTATAGTGATATACAGGCCCAATTGTATTCCATTTGAATGTCAGATATGACACTATATATCTTCCTGTGGAATATCAAGAACTCTATCTTTGGAAGTTCACTCCAAGATGACTATAGTCGCTATACTCAGGCTGTACAATAGCAATTCCATTCCTGGGGGCAGCATTTGCCTAACACAGATTAGCCGTGGGATATCTTCGCCGTTAAGGGTAAGCGTCAGCTTGTTCTACCCAGTTATGGAGTAGCGTGTGCTTGGTTTCCCCAAGTGTAGGCATTTGTGTGCTCCTCAGCTCGAGTATACTCAATCTCGCATGCCAAGTAATTATCATTGTCGATCTTGCACTGATCATGCAATTCCAGCCATGAGCCAGAGCAGATCGCCACGTTTCAGTTTTCAGCTTTGCAAAGAATGCATTTCAACGCATGATAGCCGTTGATGATTAGGTTAGCTCCTTTTGTGCGGTGAAGATATCGTAGCCCAGGCTCTGGACTACATACTACATCACCAGCTCACCCGTTGCATCTCCAGATGTTCCATTGCTTGTAGTAAGCTCCCTCTTCACTGGAGAGCGTGAAGTAGTTGATACATTTGTACAGCCCAGAAATAATGTAGCGTAAGAAGCCACACGCGCCGATTGCAATGCTCGAGCCTTAAATTTTGTTGTTTGACTTGGCAGGTAGGAATCTCGTTTGAAATATCTCTCCATACACGAAGTACGGTTGAACAAAAATGATGATAAAAGTTGTCTGCATATTTGTGAAAAGAGTTGATTCCATCCAACATAAGTACGATTCTATGGCATTGACAGCGCTTCGTATGTTTTGGAAGGAGAAGTAAGGACTCAGCGACGAGACAACGGACTACAGACTAGCACAATAACAGCCCCTCTATAACATAGGTCCCGAAGATCACGATCATTTCGTAAGCAGTGGATAGGTATCCATTCACTACTCAAAGGCAGAAAAAGTTAAAAAGATGTTACACATGCTTCAAAAAAAAAAGATTAAAAAGTATGAAACAAAATATCCTCATTAGAGATAAATTTAGAAATAAGCAATTGCCTACTGTGTTCTGAAAGGTGCAAAATCATCAGAACTGCTGCTACGGAATGAATGACTAGAGCACACGGCACTTCTGATGGTTAAAAACACGACGATGCATTTTAAGGCCGAGACGGCTTCCATTGGGACGAGGTCCTAGCGGCTGCAGATGCCCTTTCATGTTTCCCCAGGCGATCGCACAGGGATCCCACGGGAATCCACCTTCGGGAAATGCCATCAATGGCTGAAAAATGAACGGGGATCTGCAGCTTGCAAAGACGGAGCCCTTGGGTAAGGGGTCCCACCCCCCATCTCCCTTGAACCATGTTCAGTGTCGGTGCGAGATGCGTATCCACGGATATCTACGAGTTACAGTCACAAGTATTTCTGTCGACCTGCATGTGACTTCTATATCCATATCTAGTATTTTCAAATTTCCTGTTCCCCGCACCTTTATGCCCCAATCTGAGTAGGTATGGAGTCAATCCATGGCCGATGAAACAATGACACTCGCGTCAAGGAAAAACGATGAGAAACCAGATCATTCAGTGCTGTACTCTCTTTTTAGAGTTTCGAGCCACATCAGGTCTCGGCCGACTTGGACTTCATCAACGGCCAGGGCCAAACAATGTATGATTGAATGCGCAACCCTCCCGTCACTTGACTACGACGTTGATGATCCGATTTCGAGTCATTCTCTTTCTCTTTTTCTTGATTGCCCCTTGGAAGGTCTTCTCTTCTGAGTCTGGTTTGGCTACATTCGGCTTGACCCCTCGATCACTAGATGCTTTTATTACGGCGACTATAGGCTAGCGCCGGCTGCCCATTCAGGTGCCAATGTGCCTGGTTCTCATGCTGGCTCTCGCAGCTCGCTTGCGCTTGGTTGCAAGCCATCCGTCCGCGTCGGAGCATTCGCTGCTGATCGATCTGTGCGGAAGAAGGGTCCACCCGGTATACGGTATGTAGGTAGGTAGGCAGGTTACGCACACATGCTCGACATTTTCGACATCCTGTCAGGTACTAGCAATCGACCCTTTATACATCAATATCCACCTTGGGGCAACATGTCACTTCTGTGCCCTGAACCATCGAGGATTCGAGAAACTGAAACCTCCATCCTCGGCCCGCTCATGAGACAAGAAAAAGCCCAACCCCCGTTGTGAGACACGATTCAAAGAAAACTCGTGGCTGCCCATGACAGCTACTTAGGGCTTGATGTACGTTTTGGTGAAACAATGACATTATCACTGTCAGAACTACAAAGATGGTTCGGCACCCGATTTGCTATCGCGACTCTCTAGTGCGACAATGCAATGCTGAGCATCAGGGACTCCTGCTTTTGAGCTGCCGGTCGCAGTGGATCAGCCACAGGATCAACTCGACGGCCAGACGGCATGACAAGATCAACAACTTGGGCACCGTGACAACTGCTGCTTGCTCCCACACTACGCCTCGGCTGACCCGAACACGGTAAATATTTCGCTGATCTGGCTGGCCCTGTCTAGGCCCACCGCGAGCGAGAAATCTACACATATTCGTACCGTGTACTGTTGTTATGCGACGGCATCACTCATCCTAGCTCGCCGCAAACAAGAGCTAAGCGCAAACGTCAGCTCCAAAAAGCCTGGCGCTAAAGGAAGATCTTTTCCACCGCGTCTGTCAAATACCTACACTATATTCCCTTACCGTACCTAGGTCCGGTAGCTATGATAGAAAGCACTCAGTCTTGGTTACTACGGCACCCTCCGCCATCTTACCCATCTTACCAAGCAAGCCTTCATTATCTCCCATGGTGCTTTGATGAATGGCATTGGGTGGTGAAATTACATCTTAATCAACGACTATTAATGGAGCCATAGTTCAGCTGCTTTGCCGTTGAGGAGACGAAACCCCAGCAGACTTACCCTGGCTGAATTAGAGTTCAGGCTTCAGGTCTGTGCGATAGCTATCTGCACACGCCCAGGCGGGCAGCAGTGCACGAGTCCAAATAAGGACATGAGCTAGCATCGTAACGAGTCAAAGGCGAGAGGCTCCTGCATGCCACTGCGGGATCTCTTTTCAGGCTTTCCTTACTCATTGGATGAGGCCAACATGACTGACTCTCAACATTACACATTCAGACTGTACTATAGTAATGTCAATCCCCTTGCCACGTGGGAACGCTCGAAGGTGCAGCAGTCCAAGGTCGGCATATCCCCTCTATGCGGTTTAGCTGTCGTTTTAGCTGGAGTCAAAGCACTCGCGTATCTTCAGCTGCGGCCTGGTCGGATGGGCTTTGGAGGAGGTGTTCGTCCTAGGGCCGATGGGCTAGGGTAGGATGGATGAGGATATTATGGATATTATACTAGCACTCCAATAGATCCCAGTAGCCGTCACTCCGTACTAACCAGCGTCGCCCTGTCGTCCGGTCTTGTGGGATTTGTGTGTCTACAATATGTGCGAAGGATCAGATCAGGCTAGCCAAGTCTTTCAAGCCGCCGGTGAAGCACCGTCAAATGGACTTGGTCTCATCTAAACTGCACGCCCGTTCTAACACTCGGGTTGACAACCGAGTTCCTGGGGCGGCTCGGCTGGGCTGGGCTGTTAGCTCCAGCTGTACCCTCTGGAGGACATGAGTCTTCACCATAACGACATATAGGTGCCCACGCAGCCAGCTCCTGGTCGTCTCTTTTTTTCTCTCCGTTTGTTTGGTGTCGTCTCTTTGCATTTACGTACCTATCTGGTTCGACAGATAGCATTTTCTGTGCTATCACTCTGCCGACCGCCATCTACCCTCCTTCGTCTTGAGCCTCCATCTGGTTTACAAGACATCATGGCACCAATCAGGTCTGAAGTGGTCCTCAACCACTGTACATCGGCAACAGTACTGGGAAATAGTATATCTATACATATGCTTGACTTTCTTAGCACAGTCAAGACTCATCCTCTGGGTTTCGACGAGCTTGCCCACGACTTTCTCGAAGTATGCCGAATCATGTGGTCGCTCGAGGCTGGGCTCCTCGAATGCGCCAAGATTCACCAGACTCTCCCGGACGAGATGCTCCAAGAGCTCGACAAGAAATTCAGAACCACACACTCGGACTTCCAAGTCCTTGACCAATGGATCACTCGATTCGTTGAATATGAACGCAAAGGAACCATGGGAAAAATCCAGCGAGGCTGGCGCAAAATGTTCGCAGACACTGGCGTCGACAAGATGAGGGAATCTCTCGCCAAGACAAAGGAGGCGCTGCGAATGAGTGCGCTGGTTTTTCAATGGTCCCTGGGAGACGCAAAGATTGACGACGCTGTTGGTATTGGCTATACTGGTCTCGCAGCAGCCCTCGACCGTATGGACCGCGGAAAATCTGTCATCGGCATCACAAAGCTCAAGTCTCTCGAACAACACATGGTCGCACACTCACTGGAGGAAGTGTCCGCCATCGACTCCATTCACCATTCATCCATCGACCGGTCCTTGACACCATCTGTCCCTCACCTGCCCCCAGTCCTCGAAATGGCAAAGAGTTCCACGGACCTTTCTCCATTCCCTGGCAGTGACGCCCTGAGCGCTCGATCTATTCCCGACCTACACTTCCCATCCCTCATCCGCCGTACATCAATCTCAGATCATACCGTCTCATCACACGGCGGCCGAGATCGTGAACGCGTCATCTCTGGCTCAGAGACCTACGTTTCCGGGAGCAGCGGCCATGGTTCGCATCATCCAAGCCACGGCCACATTGACGAAAGATTATCCGGCAGCACAAATGGCCACGGAACACTTATTGGTAGCGAGGATGAGTATGAGCCTGGGCCGATCAAGGTCGTAAGAATAAAGGCCGACCCGTTCACCATGCCCCGCTGGTCGCCCAGGAACTCTACCTCGCCTACGCCGGCTATGATAGACGCCCTTATCTCTGCCATTGAGGCGAGAAACAGCAAAATGGTTGAGCAACTGCTCGACCGAGGTATTCCCGCTAATACCGGGTCCGACGTACACGCGCTCAATTTGGCTATTCGAATGCATGACGTTGAGACTGTCCGACTGTGAGTACTGAGAGATCCAACTTCCCTTCATTCTTGAGAGAGAAAAGGAAGCAATGAAGCTGACCTGTAGTAGACTACTCTTATTTGGCGCCGATCCAAATATTCCAGGCGACATAACCCGAAAAACACCCCTATACATGGCAGTAGAAGAGGCATTCCTCGATGGTGCCAGCATGCTGCTCAAGTACGGTGCTTCGCCCAACCTGACGGGAGACCTAGACTCGCCATTGGCACTTGCTGTAGCCACAAATCAGTTTGCTCTTACGAGATTGTTGCTCACTTATGGCGGCGAGCCATCCCACATGATGAATGATGGTGATACTCTTTTGATCAAGGCTATTTCGCAAAAAGCATCCCGGAAAACAATCGATCTTTTGCTGGAATATGGAGCCGACAGTAACGGCAAGTCCCGAGGTACGTGTCTTCCAGGAGCAAGATTGGGTCGAGTTTTAATCGGATCCTAACATTTAATTACAGAGGGAAAGACAGCCATGTTCGACGCAATCCAGACTGGCCGCCCAGATATCGTATCAACGTTGCTCGATCACGGCGCGAATCCAAACTTGCCAGGGCCCAAGTACGATAACCTTGAAAATGAACGAAGCAACAAGAAGCTAACTGGTTGTAACTTACTAGACATATGCTATGGCCTTCGACGTATCAACCAAAGTGCCTCAAGATCCTTCTTTCTCGGGGCGCAGACCACCGCAAGGCACCTGGTATCATGGAGCTGGCCACGTCTATCAATAATATCGACAGTGTCCGCCTTTTGATCCAAGCCGGTGTCAATCTAGATGCCAAGAAGGACGGCATCTTCACCCCATTATGTAAGCAGGAAGTATTGTCGATTATGCTCAAACCGGAAGCTGACTTTATCAGGTACCTCGATCCGTGACAACAGAGAAGATATCTTCCACCTTCTTCTATCCAATGGTGCCGACCCAAATACACCAAGCGCCGAATATCCTTGTTTCAAATGTGTCACCCACAATCGAGTCCATCTCCTTGAGCCTCTTGTAAAGGCTGGAGGTAATCTTCTTTCACCAAAGGGCATTCTCGAGACGGCAGTACAACATAACAATGTGGCTGCCATCAACTGGTTACTTGACCATGATGTGCCCATCAATGACAAGGTGCCCAAGACCGGTGCAACGGCCCTCACGACTGCGATCAGGGAGAACCGTCCAGAGCTTGTCCAGCTGTTGCTGTCTCGCGGCGCCGACGGCAATGTGCGTGGTGAAGATTGGCCCATCTGCTTGGCTGTCCGCCAACCGGCAATTCTAAAGCTCCTTCTTCCCGCACTGGCCGAGCCCAGAGCCTTCAAGGGAGTCATGGAAATGGCCGTGTCTGCAGGACAGCTGGCATCCGTCAAGCTCCTTCTTCGCGCCGGCGTCTCGGTCGAAGATCGCAACGGCGGAGTCTTTTCTCCCCTTACCACGGCAATCCGCGAGCACCAAAACGAAATAGTAAAATTCCTGATTGATGAGGCAGGCGCCGACGTCAACGCCCCCGGCGAACACCTGCCCATCGTAAAGGCGCTGAGGAGAATGCAAGGCAACGATACGACGGTCCTGGTCATGCTGCTCGATGCGGGCGCGTCGCCGAACAAGGTCTACCGCGGCCACAGTGCCATTATCCAAGCGCTGGAGAATGGCGACGTGGACGTCTTGAGGCTCCTGGTCGACAAGGCCGGAGTGGACCTCGACGCCACAGACGACTCGGGCAAAACCGTCCTGGAACTGGCGCAAAGCCGCGGTGGCGACGAGGCGAGCGAGATTCTTTTGCAGGCCAGAAGGGTTCATTCCTCTTAATAGCGCGCATCCGCTAGAGTGAATCTGATATCCATTTCGGAATGAGATTCTAGGGACGTGGCGAGGAAGACGAAAAGAAAAGAAAAAGGAATGTTCTGTTTTATATGAGAGGGGAAGATACCCAGTCTACACTTATACCAAATTCCCTTTGTCTCATACCCACCCACCCACACCTACCTACACTTTATAATCACCCTAACTTGATCCCCATGTACGCTTAGCTGATTTACATGAATATTGATGAATTATGCTTCATGCTTACCAAACACTCTTACTTTTCCTTCGTGCCTCTCTCATCATTGGCCGTGAACTGCATCGGACGTGCGTCATAAATGGGAGGCTGGGATTCGGTAGCTACTCCTACTAGTCATCCTCCACTTTGTGTGAATATGTGAGAGTCTACTTCGTACTAAAAGTGCATGGGGGTGTAAAACAAACACAATTGACACGCGCCCACTCGCGCCATTTATGGAATAGAATAGTAATATTTCTACTTCTCTCTTGGTGACTTGGCAATTCTAGCAACTCATTGCTTATTGACGAAGCAGGCGATCAATCTGTGTGGGAACTTGCTTCATCTGGGCAGCCACGTTTCACTCTCTAGCATGCTTTAATCTATGCAGATTGGTCGATCGCATATTCATACGAGATTTGCTTTGGTTTGGCGTGATTGTATATTACCCGCCGTTGTATGAGACTGACTCGGTCCTTTCAAATTCGTGCTTTATTCGTGACTCGGTGTATCATTTGGTCAAGTTGCCTGTCAATTTCTGGTCGCCTGATGATCTATCTATCAGTACAGAAACGCGGAGCTTGTGGGCATCAACTCGGACGTTTTGCAGATCAGATACCTACCCCATAGAATTGGCGCACGTCTACCACGACGCGACTGCTTACGCTCTTCTTATTGGATACTGTATACAAGCTGAGTACATGATGCTCTACTCCAAGCTGACATAGTGTATAGTGCCTTGTGTCGTGTACTCGACCAATCAGGTGGTTGGGTGTGTGCAGTGAGTCGGATAACAATTCAAGATAAATCTGAAACGAACCGTTACCTGCGACTGGGAGTAGCGAAATGCGTCTTGCGCCCATGGTTGGATTTGCAGGCGATCGCGCTAAACTTGGGCGGGTTTTAGCGGTCCCCCCACCCCAGTTTCTACCCAGACACACAGACCACAGGCCCCAGAGGTAGCCAAGCAGGGCATCATAGGTTCATGTTCTCAATTGTCTTGTCTTGCGCCTCTTTCTGTTGAGCTTTATTTCAACCACAAGTCGCAGACGCAATCGTCTGAAGGCTTTGTTCATATTTTACCTACAGGCCAGGTCGGAAATCACATACTTCCAACAAAATCCATCTGCGGCCTCCATCTCTCTCGTGCTGCGAACATGCCGATTCGCGTAAAAGCACGCCCAGTCTCTCAAGGCGATCGGGCTCCGTCACCCTACTTTGCCCCGTGGAAACCGACCGAGCTCCCGCACATCAGTTATGATGATGTATTTCGCGATGTCATTAAATCGCTCTCTAGGTGCTTACAGATGCCTTTACGTTCAGCTTCATTCTTGGGATATTCAGTTCTGACCGTGTTCAAGATATATTGCCGACTGTGTATTTCTTCCGCTGACGTTTGAGCAATTGCGGACAACGTCTAGCGGCGACTGCCTGAGGACGCTCGTCGACCATCTCGCAGAAAATGTTTTGAATCCAGCCATTGTGAATGCTCTACTGTGAGTAAATTTACTTCGTTTCATCTCCTCGAGTCCACGAGACGTCCCATTGAACCCTATTGCCCTTGGATCACGTCTTGCCTCGGCACATCGGTCATTCCCACAGTGCGGGATCGCCTGAAACCTTGGTGTCCAATCCACCCGCTTCGAGCGCATCCATCTTGTTGAGGCCCGCAATCGTTAAAAACATCAGCACTTGTGAAAGGTTTTGCTTTCAGGCCACTGACATGTTTCCAGAGCCCTCCGTTGGCATTATAGCACTGGACCCGATAGCAGCGGCGTCGGTGATGCTCGTGCAAACGCCTGCGAGATCGTGGCGTGGCGCTTCCTCACGCGTCTCTCGGAACGGGAGGCTGTCGAGTTCTGTCTCTATGAGATCCCAGATCCCAAGCAAAAATCCATCTTCCTTCGTAATGCACCTGACCTGGGAGAGAGCAATGAGCGCACTGCATTGCTGCCTTCGTCGTCTTCCAACGAACATCCCGGAAGTCGACCGGATACCCTTAGAGGAGCGTCCCAAAGACGAACGCAATTAATCCAGTCGCTCTCCAAACTCACAATGAGCATGCAACTTGACTCCAATGATGAGGAAGAGGACGAAAATGACCCAACAGCGCCATTTATCAACCTCAATGCCCTTGAGATTGCCGCCATTGCAGATGCAAAGCGCTTCCTGAGCCAGCACGTCGTCCAAAAGATCATCACAGGAATCTGGTCTGGCGATATCATCTTTTGGGACCGTCTGTCCGCTGGATCGATCAAGAAGCCCAGATTCTACAACCCGCAGACTGCTGACCCTTTCTGCCGCCTACGCGTGCCTCGATATCTCAAGGTATATGAGGTCGTCTTTTTTGGTTTATTCCTTTTTCTGTACTATGCCGTACTTATTGAGCAGAACCGTTACGCCATCACACCGAGAGAAATCATGCTTTACGTTTGGTTCGCTGCTTTTTGCTACGACGAGGTCAGCGAGTACATTGATGCCGGGAGTATATTTTATTCGGCCGATGTGTGGAATTTGTTCGACATGATCATGATTGCCATTGGCTTGGTATTTGCAATCCTGCGTTTCATTGGTCTATACAATCAAGACCTCTACATGGTCGACATTGCATTTGATGTGCTGTCGCTCGAGGCCCTCTTCATGGTTCCTCGCATCTGCTCAATCTTGAGTTTGAGCCCGTACTGGGGAACATTGATTCCATGCTTGAAGGAAATGGGCAAGGACTTTTTGAAGTTCATGGTTCTGGTTGTCATCATTTATGTTGGATTCTTGACAACCTTCTCCTTGATTGGCAGAGATTCATACTCTTTCAATCACATGGCCATGATTGTGACCAAGATCTTCTTTGGTTCAAGCTATGTGGGCTTTGATATCATGGAGAGCATCGATCCCATCTTTGGTAAGTTCCATCCATGTTTTCAAGACGAATTGATATTCCTAACTCGTCTCAAGGCCCGCCACTGATGCTCATCTTTGTGACGCTGTCATCGATCCTGCTTATGGGCTCCCTGACTGGTATGCTCAGCAACAGCTTTTCCCGCGTCATCTCCCACGCTAGAGAGGAGTATCTCTATGTCTACAGTGTGTATGTGCTTGAAGCTTCGACTAGTAATCGTCTCACGCACTTTTACCGTAAGTCCCATCTTATATCTAGTCTCACTGTTTAGTGGGTTTGCTAAAGATGATGTTGGCAGCACCGTTCAATCTGCTGGCTTTGGGCATTTTCCGTCCCTTGAGATTATTCCTGCCTTCGGACAACAAATTCCGACAAGCACGGATTATGCTTCTCAAGGCAACCCATCTGCCCATTGTAGCTGTCATCAAAGCCTACGAGCTCATCACGTTTAGGGTCTCTCCGTCAAAAGATGGATTCGACAGTTTCCGTGGACCCCGCCAGACTTCACGAAGAAGCCCAGCGCCACCGCTGTCTTCCAGTCGCCGTTCGCACATTTCTTCTCGACATACCAATCATGAAGTCATTTCTCAGCCTTCGCCGACTCGATCCAGGCAAGATCAAGATGACAGCACGGACGCGCCTACTGATGTCGAAGTCCGGATCGCCGAGTTATCTTCAAAGATAGACAGACTCACGGCGCTCGTCGCAATGCTTCAACCAGGTGCAGGCATCGAAACCACGAGAACTTGAACAAGTCTCAATTATATGCAATGAAAGCAGACAGACTATCCAGAATTGTCGACTACGATTGAATGAGGTTTGGGGTACATCATTGGAAGAAATGGATGATGACAATACGTGCTAGGGAATGTGAAATGATTGCGATGATGGAGGAATTAGAAATTTTTGTAAGACATGTGCCGGCGCAAAGAACATTGGAGTTTTCGTGTATTATTGATTGCTTTGCAACAGAAGAAAGAGAAGAAAACACTATAGATTGATATTGCTCATTAAACACACAAGTCTGCAGCGATCACGGAGGATAAAATGCAACTTGTTGCAGCTAGGGCGTAGATTCTGACATGTCTCGAGATTAAGTTGATTCCCCTCAGTGCACCATGGTGGGGCGGGCGGACTCCAGTATGAGCAATAGACCCTGGCATAGTATCACTGATGAGTCAAGCAGAGTTTATAAATTGTGAGGGTGTTTAGCACAACATTGACCATCAGATAACCTTTATTTGTAACTAAATTGATTCAATATGGAGTTCGAATTCGCAACCCTGGATGTTTTTACCAACAGACGGCTGGAGGGAAATCCCCTGGCCGTGGTCAAAGTGAGAGATTCTCAAAAGGACAAACTTACGCAAGACCTTAAGCAGAAAATCGCCAAGGAGTTCAACCTCTCCGAGACAACATTCTTGCACGTTCCAGATGGAGATGTTGGGAAGAGCACTGCGCCCTCGGCGCTCTCGGTGGACATCTTCACCATTGAATCCGAGCTGCCTTTCGCCGGCCACCCCACCATCGGCACGGCCGTGCTGGCCAAGAGCCTATTCCCATCCGTGTCGACACTCAACATCAAGGCCGGCCCCATTGGCCTAGATCCATACAATGTAAACGGGCGCGCCTTTATCCGCGCCAAGATCCCGCACAATGTGCACCTGCACGCCCGGACGCTCGCCGACGTGATCCCGGCGGCCCAGCAGGCCACGTACGAGGGCCTGTCGCACGGGGAGCCGCAGATCCGCGAGCGGGAGCTGGCGGCCCCCGTCTTTAGCGTCGTCTGCGGCATGACGTTTGTGCTGGTAAAGCTCCCCTCGCTGGAGCTGCTGGGCCGCGTGGGACGCTTGCGGCTCGACTTTGACGCCTTGCCCGCGCCGCTGCTCGACGTGGACTCGGAGTGGGCGCCTAGCTTTGTGGCGCGCTACTACTACGTCGACGTTGACGACAATGAAGGCGAGGGGGCCAAGGGGGCCGGAAAGGTAGGAGGGGAGGGGAAACAGCATGTCCGAAAGATTCGAACCCGGATGGTCGAGTTGGGATTCGAGGATCCCGCTACGGGCAGCGCGGCGAGCTGCCTGGCTTCGTACCTGACCCTCACTGAGGGGGTACAGGAGGAAGGTGGCGCTGGCGCTAGCTTTGAGATTGTGCAGGGCGTTGAAATGGGACGGAGGAGCGAGATACGCGTCGATACTACGACGGAGACAGATGGGAAGGGCCGAACCAAGATCAAGGACGTCTACCTTGGCGGTGAGGCGGTCGTTGTGCAGAAAGGGACCATCACGGTTGATTAGGCGCCACAATGGTTCTTACTGCACATGCATATGGAAAACCTAGTATCAGATACGTGTTCATCATGGGCAAATTGTAGCCATACTGGGTGTTTCGCGTTGTTGGGTAGTTACTTCTCAGCCACAAGGGTAGCCATTGTTCACGATGATGGCGGCTTCTATGCTCTCAATAAAATCATTCATCTTTTCTACCCAAGGGCACTTGTCGCTCTTTGACTTGGCTTCATGTTGATTTTCATAGACTGTGTGCCATGAAGACAAGACCTGATGAGCAGTTTGCATCGCAAATAAGTTCGTCAGCATATCTGTTGGCCATTGCCTCGGTGTCTGGTAGCAAGCTTCTAGGTGCTGCGACGTTGTTGAGTCTTCTTATAATTCGCCTCCCATGTATACAAGTGTCTGTGAGCGTTTTGGCAAAGCCTTATCGTTGGAGTTGTCGGCGCCAAATATTGAAGAGCAAAGTCAATTGCCTCTTCTCAACAGGCAACGGTTTTCCCAAAAACCTTTTTTCAGATGCCCAACACTCAAGGGGGAAGCAGTCTTCAACATCTGAACTTCCTTCTTAATGATATATATATCTTCATCCACCTCTCCTGCTAACCCTCCCCGCGGTTTCTGGCTAACATCATTCCCATTCAAAGCTACACCTCGCTTTCAAATTTCGTCCAAAGGCACTTTTTAGACCTATTGATTAAACCAAAGTCTTTTATCTCTTTCTGTGAAATAATCCAAGCTTTACTGCTGTACTAACTACGAAAATGTCTTCCTCAAGCGAAACTCTTGGTTCTAGCGATGAAATGCCACGCCTCCCTGGATGGCAAGAACGGGCGCGACCAAATTTTGCAAGCATTGCAGTAGGCACGCACAAGGCTGCTTTCGAGGTAAGGAAATACCACCCAATATGGCAGTTATCACCGTTGCATTCCCTGGGGTCCGGGCCTAGACCTTCTCAAGTTCTCTGAATCCTGTGATTGGCAGCTTCAGTCGAAACAGAACCTAGGTGGTCGTCCGGGCCTTCCATTGAGTATCATTCCTGGTTTTTATTTAAGCGCTTCTTTGTTGTTGTTTTTATTTCCGGTAGCCTTCTCGCCTCTCCCATTTTCATGCACCCAAACACACATCTCTATTCCTTTATTGTCATCCTCACTCACCCCTATACTTACACACCTAACGATGATTGCTTACACATTTTGCCTCAAAGGCTGCATACGAATTGAGTCAAGGCGGGCGCTGTGGTCGGTATCAGGTGAGATTTCCTTGTTTGCACTATTACATATAAATTTCGACGCTGCAAACTCACTCACCTTTTCTGGAAACAGAACAACCCTTGGGCCGCTGTCGCCAGTAATGACAGCCACATCATTTTTGACTTCATCAGAGCGGTCGCCGACTCCCACAAGACTTCAGTTCAGAAGGGAAACCTCGAAAACCTGCCTTTTATCTTGTACAGATACTACAGGCGTCTTAAGCATGAGGTCGAGAGCGCCCTGGAGATGAAAGCACTGGGCCAAGAATGGCGGTGGTCTTTTTGGCATATACTCGATATCGGCATGTAAGTGACAGCCGTTATTTCTTTCCAGTTTTTCTTTCTTTTATTGGAAGCAGATACTCTTTCCTTTAAATCAAAGCTAATTGTCTTTTTATGACAGGGGTATTATCACCAGAGAGGAGTTTTATAAACAAAATCCACAGTTAAAGCCGGTCGACTATTGGTTGGTTTTAAAAACCTCACAGCCAGGCAGTCCGCTTCGTCCAAATTTCCAGCTCGGCGATCCCACGCTCGAGGAGCAATTAGATCAACAATTAGATCGAGCATGGTGGAATAGTCTCAAGGGCGCAACGTATGGCGCGGATTATGACATTTGGGATATGCGCGCTGATTTAGCGAAGAATCGTGGCGGGTGGATTGTTGAGGCAGCGAGGGGGGTTTACGCGACGGCTATTCTGCAACATAGCTGCCCTCAAGCGGCAAGGCAAATAGTCGGAAGCGCATACGACTCCTTGCGCGATTGGATGAAGACCAATCATGATCGGGAAATCCAAATGACTCGGTCTTTATTTTTAGAAGCCGCCGAGTGCCTTTCGGATTCAGAATTCTACAGCAATCATCCTGCCATGTTCAATCCGCAGGGAGGAATGTGTCAGGAATTACCTACAAGACGGGCACCTGTGCATTTTGGTAGTTTGGTCGAAGACGAAGGGGGATTCACGAGAGTCCAAATCCAGCTCGAATTCGGCTCAGACGATCCTGATCTGAAAAGGTTGTGGAGGATAATGTTTGGATAGTTTTTGAATATAGCTCATGTGCCTACATAGAGGGCTAGAGATATTTCAGACATGAGTATGACGAAAATGAAACAAAATCAAGTCACATTTGGCGACTGAAAGCAGTGCAAGAATTCTTATGAATATGACTTCAACTGATAGTTCCGGTCGACCACGGCATGCCATTAGTTCAGCAGTCAGAATCAAGTATATAACTGCTTGGCCCGGGGCAATCTAGAGGTGCTCACACACACATCTATTTTGTTACTATGCATAAGTTGGCCTCCTGTCGACTTTCCGCGACAGTCGCAAAGGGTTCAAGTGCATGGGCGAATCTTGGGATTATACAGCACTTTATCATTGCAGTGATATCCTTCTTTAATTTAATTATTGGCTTGGAAATCTACCTGCCTCGTCTGATCTTGGTTGGTTCGATCTGTTCTAATCCGCAAACAGCAGTCAAGCTGGGCGCATACATGTGTGTTCGGGTACGTGCATGAAGGGTAATATTGCAAGTCGACAGACCTTTTGTGCCTAATCTGACTTCTCTGCGGTCAAGTCTGTCAAGATCTAGGACAAAATATGACTCGTCTAATTGGAGACGCAGAGGCGAGTGTCTGAATCCTGACCAATCGACACAATGTGATTCAGGCAGCTATCCTCTTTTTAATAGGCAATACAAATTGGGGTGACATTTTGGAAATGTACTGATATTCATTGACAAGGCTCTCGAGTTTATTGACCCTACCCCGGCCCGAGACATGGGCAACTCGTAAAGTGACGCTCTGATGCGTCTTCCCTAGACGAGCATAGAATGGTCGCAAATGCTGATGAGTCGTGTCATTGAGCATTTCAAAAATATCGTGTACAATATTGCCCTATAGATTCAGTGCACAAGACTCGACTGCCGCCTTTGGGGATGACAACTGAGCTGGCTGTGCATAACCCTGGGCATGTGGTGCTTCGGTCCCAGCACGCGACGCTTGGGATTACGCTTAGATTGAAGCTTCTCCGAATACCGGATCAAAGCGGGTTGGCGCGAGGCATCACAAGAGTCGGCGGCTGTCTGCATGCACGAGATTCCAGCCGTGACGTCGAGTCGTCGCTATTGGAGATAAGTACCATGGGATAGATTTTGTGAAATATGCGCCCCTGAGTTTCAGATTGGAAAGTTGCCATGAGACTGTGAAAAGAGGGGGTGGTCCAGGGACGAACGACAAAAGTCTTTATTTGAGCACGGCAGGAAATGCGACCTCAGCCCACCCGAACTCGATTTGGTTTCTGGTGTGTGTACTTGCGAGCGCCCGAGACCACCATCCATTTCTGTGCGTGGTCGCACCAGCCTGACAAGCGACAGGACATGTGGCAGTGATTGCCAGGCAAGGGGCTGGACGCCGTGGGCTGTAGACCGTTGTATATTGACTGCATGATGATGTACGTGCAGTATGTACTCTTTCCGGTCGCAATCATGCTTGATGCTTGTACTGTACCGAGATGGAAAGAAAATATCAGCTGCGCGGTCGCACAAAAGGCAACCGGCATATCCTGGGGGCGACATATTGAGGAGGGGAGAGGAGAGGAGAGGTGATGAGGGTGTGAGATTCTCTCAAATCTATGAAAGATCTACCCACGTAATCAGTTGCCTGCACAGCAGACAGTAGTCGTAGCAATAGGCGAGCTGGAACTACCCCTTGTCCGCCTGCGCAAGACCCAAAAATGAGCTGCAAGGCCCTGGTTGGATATCCACCGATCTCCTTTGCGGATGGAGGATCCCACGATTTGATCTCGATTATCGTACCTTAGACCCAAAACGCGACGGGACTACTACAGGCTGGAATTATCCCGCGACCCGTAAACCCGCAGCCGCTCGAGGCAACCAGACGCGCCCGCCCTCTCGCCCTCACCCCGGGTAACCCAAGTCCCAGAGTGGTCACCCATCGGTACCAATCCCCTGGAACCGTGGCGTCCCAGGAGGGTATAGCGGCCGGCTTCTAAGTATCATCCATTGATCGACCGAATTTCCCGGGCAGGGTCACGCAGCCAATGAGCGTAGACATCACCCAGCCAGGTTCCAGGAAGGGGGTGTTATAGCGAGGGCGCATTCGTCTCGGTTCATTCGCCTTTCGGTCACGAGGGGGTGCAATGGGGGATTTGCGCCACATCAAGGAAACCCAGGTTGCCAGTAAAAAATCGATACACCTTGAAAATAATCCTTTAGCATGGGGATGGCTGCTTTGTGATAGCGGTGAAGAAGTGATACATGCCTATCCTTCGTTGTGCTGCCCACGAAAATCAAGCTGCGAAGACCGTGTATGACCGTGGCTTGGAACCAGATGGTCGGACAAGGCCGGCTTTCAAGTACTATTCTAGAAATCCGAACCTCTGGAGTATGGCAGGGACAAGGTCATGTTTTTGGTCCCTGAACGGGCTTGCGCTGTATGTTCACCTTTGCCCGCACGCACGCACGCACGCACGCACCCAAGGTATTGGAACTCGTCTGGGTTCCTTCAGACCAAGTGCAAGGATAGTGCTTGCTTTTTCTCTTGGCCACTCGGACATAGTGAAAGGTCAGGGAAGGATCTCCCTTCCGAGACAATCAATCAGGTAATGAGCCGGTTGGTCATGCTCATACTTGCTCTCTCGTTCGTTGCAAACCATTCTCTACGTAGAACGAAACCGAAATCCTCTCGTGCTCTCATTCTTTCACTTATCCGCCCAACAAGTTTGATCATGGCTTCAGCTGGTGGCTTTAGCAACGACCCAGGTCTCCTCGTTTCTACTTGTCAATCTGAATGTTTGTATGACCATATCTACACTGTTATTAAAATAACCCTCAAAATCGCATTTGTGATTATCATTGCCTTTTTAGCTCGATCATGGTGGCGACTACGACACGTCCCAGGCCCTTTTACGGCTGCAGTGGGTACTTTTCAATTCTGCAGGTCCAAAAACGACCATAATCGTCAGCTTGAGCTGGAGAAGCTATACTATGAATATGGTAAATCCTACTTCAAAGGGATGTTCCTGGGAACCATAGGGCTGACTGAAACTAACATTAGGAGATGTGGTCCGCACCGGGCCCAGCCGAATCGTGACCACCGATGTTCAAGCACTTCAGAGGCTGACGCCCATCATCTCAGCCCATGAGAGTGGCTTTCTTAGGCGTGTCTCACAAAATATCTCCATCTCATACTTTTCCCCGCACGAGTCGCTGGATGATGAGGAGCACGTACGCAAGTCTCTGGGAGCTCATATGGCCGTGGATATCGCCAAAGTTGCTGCGTGCATGGAAGATCATTGCAGGGTCCTCGTCGATACTATCAAGGAGGCATGTCTTTCTTCAGGGACGCGCTGTCATTTCTTGGACCCCACGTCTATGGCTCAAGAAATAACCCAACATGTTGCCGACCTCGGCGATTTGGATTTCTATGAGGCTATATATAATAAATATGCTGCCGGCCTTAACACACGACGGGCCCCAGCGAACCAACTGTACGGCCCAGTGCTCTGACACAGTACCTGCTTTGTGGCATACATACTAACCAGCCTACCTAGTCTTGCCACCATTAACTACATGGCAACCACTATGCAGAACACTCTGACCAGGATCATTGCATCTCCTGTTACTTACGCAAGACTGCGAGAAGAAATCGATGGCTCACAAGACTACTCCACTGTTTTGTCGCCTGTACAAGATGATAAGGGTTGTAAGTCCTATCTCCAGGCAGTTATAAGAGAAGGGATACGATTGTTCCCGGCCAGGATCAATCCCCTCTATACGGTGCCCGAAGATGGTGCAACCATCGGCGGCCATCGCATTCCATCTGGCATCACGGTCGCTCTGAATAACACGGCTTTGATGCATTCGAAGAGGATATGGGGAGCCGACGCGGATTTGTTCCGGCCAGAACGTTGGCTCGAGGCCACAGCTACGACGTTTGCCACCATGCATCAAGCATTGATAGCGCCATGGGGTGTCGGAGAGAATGCGACATTGCACCAGATAGTCTACCAGGCAGCCCTCGGTGGGAGTGTTAGGGAAGTATGTGAAATCGAATTCCGGAACATTCTGAGCAAGTTTGAAAACTAACGAAAAGTCAAGATATTAAGGAATTTCGATCTTTCTATTAGTGTACCCCGGAATCCGACTGATTTATTGGACTCGAACTTTCTACAGTCGGATCTACGCGTAAGACTGGCTCCAAGGGCACATAGTCAAGTATGGGAAAAAGAAAACTTCCAGGAGGATGAGGGATAATGAATCCAATTGGGTCCGAGGCTAAACCCCATATACCTTACTCCGAGTCAGATAGCTCAAAATCATCATCGTCGTCGTCGTCTTCCGATGATTTGATTTGTGTTGTTCGAGTTCGTCGTCGGTTCGTGGCCCGAGGTTTAGCTTTTGCTTTTGCTTTAGGTTTTGCAACCTTTCGCTGTGCTCTTTTCGGTGGCTTGATGTCCTCGTCCTCCATGTCTTCGTTGTTCTCTTCCTCATCGCCCTTGTCTTCTGGGCTTCCTTCATGATACCGTGATATGGCAAGTCCGGAGAAGTCTCTGGGTTTCTCGACCGAATCGCCGTGGTCGACTTCAAGGGTATCCACGCCCTCGGCATCATGAGCGCCTGAGAAATAACTTGATGTTTGCTTTGGTTGATCGCCCGGCTCCTCCTCGTCGTAACCTTCTGGCAAGAACCCTCCCGCCATATCCTCGTCGTGTTCGGACATCTTCATGAATCCACCTTCTCCTGCATCGTCTTCATCGCTTCCCCGTAAGTCGACAATGGTCTTCGTCTGTTTGTCCTCTAGATGGCCGTATTCTTTTTCTATTCTAGCTGCAATGCGCATGCCCATGAGCAGTTTTCTCCACATTCCTAGAGCCGCCTTGCGCCTCTTCTCGTCCTCTTTTCTCTTTCGCTCGGCCTCGTCCTTTTCAATCTCTTCGAGCACCTTGTCTTCATGTTCCTCGGCCACTACCACTCCTTGAATGACGGGGACTGCCATTCGATGCCCAAACTCGAAACCAACTACGGCTTCGGCGTAGTCAATGCCTAGCCGCTTGCAAACCCGAACGGCACCACGGTAAGGCAAATGAATGGCTCCTTCGGGACACATGTGCTCTGCAAACATATCAATGTTGCCATAGTCATTCTTCGGAATCACGCCATTCTCAATCGGTGGCGGGATGATCCAGTCCGTCTGCTCCTCGCTGTAGAGAGGTTGTAGTACCTTTTCTCCAGTCCTGGCTTCAGCTTCCGCGATTTCTCTGCGTCTATTCGTGGTCGCCGCTCGATAGGGAGCATGTTTCAACGGCTCAGCCCCTAGCACAGGTGCCCGGCCTTGCTTGTGCCATGTCTCGGCAGACTTGACAGCGACAACATCCTTGCGTAGGTACACATCCTCCTCCTCAACTTTACCGCCCTTGACCTTGTTGCGGAAGACCTTGACTGGTTTTGCCGAGGGTAGGAGGGCTTCTTCGCGCTTGAGGTGCCTTTGAAGAACAAATTCCTTGGAACTCTTGAAGTACTGCAAAGTCTCCTCCCCTTCCTTGACTTCCTTCTTCTCTGGGACTGCCGGCTTCAAATCTGTAGCATCTTCCCATTGATCCAACTCAGTGACTGGGTACTTGAGTGTGCCACGGACGTATCCGCTGAGGGCAAATTTGAACCAGTCAAACTTTTCGTAGCGCTTGATCTTGCCATGTCTGTTGTAGATGGGGATCTTCTCGACTCCCATACGAGAGCCCTTGGTGCGACCTGGAAAGAGTTGTTTTCTCAGATACCGAACCGTGACATCCTTGGCAGTGCCATCCTGGGAATGAGCAACGGTATATGCCATGATCTGTTTTGCCTTGTCTGCTTTGGCACCGCGAGGCTCCAATGATTCAACGAGTTCTCGATTGGTGCCAACGATGGACTTTACTATAGCATCAACTGGTAGCCACTTCTTCGTAACAGGAGACAATACTTCGGTCCAGTAGATAGGAAAGTCGAGATCTTTGTCGTAAATCTTGAGTGCGGCTTTGGGCTTTTTGAAATCTGCCGTGACATCGACAACGGAATTGTCGTCACTATCGTCATCACTAATAGGCTCTAGATATTCGTCTGAATCGTCCAAGTCCATTTTGAGTGAATCCTTGTCGTTCTTCCTGGTCCGGCGACTCGTGGGACGCGCTGGCGTCTTTCTTGTCTTTGCGGCCGCCTGAGACTTTTTGGCGTTCGTCTTGATAGGAGTCGCGGTGCCATTAGTCGAGGCATCGCCCACAGCCTTTTCTTCATCTGCCTCCTCGGATTTGCTCCAACCAAACCCTAATGACTGTAGGTTTGCAACCATTCGAGCTTCGAGACCAATGCCTCTCAACAAGGCCGTGAAGAGTTGCGCACCCACATCTCGACTGCCTTCGCACTTTCGCGCATGCGTTCTGAAATCTTCCAAATTATGGATTTTCTCACCAAACCTTTCAGGGTCGTGCTCTTCCTCTTCGAATGCAACCCTCCACTTGGCTAGTCTCCTCACATCCATGTAGCCTTTCTTTCGCAGTCCTGGCGCTGTAGTTGTGAATCTCTGTTTCCACCACGCAGATAGAGACTTCATGAGCCTAAAAAGAGGATCACCATGGGACATATTGGGGACACCATTTTCAAGTCGATCAGCAGCATCGCTCCAATCTCTGGTAGACTTGGAAGCTGGTTGCTTTCCTCTCGACCTGGCCGTCTTTCCTTTGGTGGTCGATTTTCCACGAGCTCCAGACTTTGATGTTGGCGCTGCTTTTTCCTCCACAGCGTCATCCTTTTCAAGTCCACTATTGGTGCGCCAACGGTCAACTTCCTCCCAGAGTCGTGGCGTCAGATGTGATATCATGGTCGCCTGAACTTCTGGGTCACAGAGCCAAGAGTTGCGAGTTGCGTTATGCCAAAGAAGATATTGGACGTGAATGCAGTGCGTAACATTACGTATTTGCTTTTCGCGCTTCGATGGTCCCTTCTTCGACATCTCAGATGCCAAAGGTACATGACTATTCCGGTACAATGTGAGTTCTAGATCACCCGAGATGACAGGCTCCACTTCGAGCTGAGGTTCATGGTTCGGAACGTCCTCGAACTCAATATCCTCATCGTCATCTTCATCGTCCGACTCTTTCACAGATTGCGCATCAACCTTTTGCCTCTTGGCTGATGGTACGTCTTCAAATTCGACATCAGAGTCTGATAGTGAGCTAAGTGAGCTACTGTCGTCATCGTCCACCATTTTCTGCAATGCAGATTTCGTCTTGTCGGCAGATCTTTTCTTGTCGCTAGTATTGAGATCCTCAAACACCGTGGATTTCCTCGGTGGCACAACTCCATTGGGTGTGCTTGACTTGGAGCTCTTGCCTGCCTTCTTGGCCCCATTGCCACCTTCGGGCGACGGCGTGCGTAGCCTCTTGCGAGGTAGATGAGGCGGCATTGTATCGACAAACTACATTTGTTGTTTTGGCATGAAAATTAAACAGTGAAAGTAGCTTTGCGTGTCTCCTGCAACGCGAACAAGCGCCAGGCACGCAGCATCATCGAAACGCGGAAACATGTGACCTCATTGATTTTCTATTGATTGCATGTCAAGCGGCCAGTAGGCCGCTAACGTCGCTAAATTGGGGCACCCGAAAGGCCGGGAACGAGAATAGGTTAGCGATCTGGTAGCGCCACTGAACCCCGCGATTCGTGCTCTGAATGCAGCCCCTGGCCCTGTGACTCAGGCGCTTGACCTGACCTGGGGCTTCTGCGATCATTCGAGACCCTTCTCCGCCAACTCGCATAAGCAGCTTGCGCATCATCGCAGCCTTGCCTCCTGAGCCGCCTCATTCACTGTCGAGTTGAATCCGCCAATCTACCAAGTACCGAAGGAGTGTTCAGAACATAGCCATCAGTCAGCAGGGCTTACGCAATTACCTTTCCCTCAGCGACATTATATTATCACTCTATCAATAGACATACCCATACTATATATACCCGGGGTCGCCTTCACAATCACCCAAGATGGCGTCCTCATCCTCCGACAATACAGAATCCTCCTACGTCAAGATGGATACAGCCGATGCCACCTTGATCGGAAAGCATTGTCAGTACTCGTACTGCAATCAACTCGACTTCCTCCCTTTCTTCTGCCAGTCCTGCAAGGGGACCTTCTGCCTTGACCACCGAACCGAGACGGCACATACATGCGCGAATGCAGGCGAATGGGCGCGGCGGCGGCGCGAGGCCGAGCTGGCGAAACCCAGCGCTGGTGAGGGAAAACGGATGCGCGATTTGGTCCAACAAAAACCATGTGCTGCGCAAGACTGCAAGACAACCGTAGGCACTAGTCTTGTCCCTGGTGTGCACTGCGACCGCTGCAACAGGGACTACTGCCTCAAACACCGCCTGGGCGAAGAACACGATTGCAAGAACCTGACGCCCATCGGCGCGCGGCCGGCTCAAGTCGATTTCGGACGTGAGGCGCGCTCCGCCTTGTCTAGACTCAAGGCTTGGGGCGCCTCGCGCAAGGAGGCTGCCTCCCGGGCACTGCCCAAACCCAAGCCAAGCACTGCCAGTCAGAGAATAGTCGCCGTGAACCAACTCAAAAAGACTGCCAAGGGTGACGCCAAACTTGCTCCTGAGAAGAGAGTCTACCTGTTTGTTGAGGCCGAAGCCGAGACGACTACAGCCAAGTTTCCCAAGGGTCAGTTCTTCTTTAGCAAAGACTGGGTTGTGGGTCGTCTGCTCGACTCGGCAGCAAAGGGTCTTCAAGTTGAAAACGTAAACAATTCAAGCGCCGACGAGAAGGATAAGCTTCGGGTATTCCATATCGAAGGAGGGCGAGTTCTAGAATATAACGAGAAGGTCGGTTCAGCCCTAACGAGCGGTAACACTGTTGTTCTGCTCAGAGGTGTTGGGCCGGCACAGGAGGACCTCATCAAGATGTAAAGGATGACATTTTTGAGTTATGGGATGTTTTAACTTTAGAGCGACATCAATATTGCATTTTCAGGCGTCCGGGAGCATGATCTAGTCGTTGATACAGCGACTAGCTCACATGGTTTAGCATTTGAAATAATTACACTTTTGAGATTTGTTACTCTTTTACACATGTACATCCCTAACTCGCTAGTGTAGCGCTTGCTCCGTGTGTATTTCAAAAGAAGAGCTGAGTAAACTCCAAAAACGCCCGTGTCCCTCTTCACCACTTTTTCTCGATGAGTAATGTAGTACCTCACAGCTCCTTCTCCTTGGGTCTCTTTGACAATTGCTCTTCTCGGCCTGTAGTCGGCAAATTGCCCACGGCAGCCTGTCCACCATAAAGCGAGAATCCTTTGTGGAATATCCACTCGACCGCGTTTTCGACGGGATGATCGAAAAGATAAGGAAGCGTGGGTACAACGGCCAATCCCAGACCGATCGGGCCCCAAGTCCTCAACTTTGTATTCTTCACATTCTTCAAGGCACGGCCAGAATACCTGACCACGCTGTGGATAGTGAATGCGGGAAGGCCCATACTTGCCACGCTCTGGAAGATACCTCGCTGCAGCATAACAGTTCGATAGTCTTCTAGAGGTGCCACCACACCGGGCTCCTTCCTGACAAGTGCGCCAGCCTGAGGTTCATTGCTCAAGCCTGTCGCTTTGAGTTGCTGCTCGCTAAGCACCAGCTCGGGATTGAGCTTGCGCTGATTTTGCCAGTATGCCTTGTAACCCTCATAACTGACATCTCCCAGAATATACGTCCACGAGATACCATAGGCACTCCTCACCAGCCAAGGGTGGGCCACGGGCCGAAACGACTCGCCAATGTCGGATGTATATGCAACATATCGGTGCGCAGAGAGCATAATGGTGCGCAAACGGTTCGCGTAGGCGGCATATCGCCAGTTGGACTCGGTCGAATCAGGCACGTAGCCGTCAACTAGTTCATCGTACCACGAATCATCGTGATCGTGCTTGTCGACGATCTTCTGAAGATTCCGGGACAGCTTCTTGCGCTCCGGGAGATGGCTGGGATCGAAACTTGAGGTGTTGGCGCTTTCCTTGGGAACGTTTTTGGACTCGACTGGCTCGATTGGTTGACCTGTGACGGGAGCCGACGAAGCAGCTTGGGGAGCTTGCTTGTCCTCCGCCGTACCTTTTCCCCACCACGGCATGGTGATCGTTTTGTGGTGGTTATTCGAAAAGTTTTGGTGAATATGTATATCGTCGACCAAAAACAGAACACTCAAGCCACCTGTCTACTATATTTCGAGACGCAAACGTGACGAACGGCCCTTTGGGAGTGGTGGGAAGTGGATGAACAGGGAAGATGTCGTAAGATGGGTGTGGGCTGCTCGGTAATGGAACGCACGACAGAGCTCCAGCGCTGGAGCTGGCTTGGCGGGAGCTTGGATGCGCAAGTCCGGGGAGTGAGTAAGGTGACGTTATTGGGCACCCGCACCCGGGCCTAGTCTCCACTTCCATCTGGAAGCTCGTCGCATGATCCCGGCTACTGCCGATGTGACCGAGTGAATCCTGGATGGGCCTCTGTCGTCGGCCTTTCCTTGTTCCGATGACTTCCGACATTGCTTACCTAAGGCAGTCGCTGGTCAGTGCACCCTCACGCAAATTGGAGCTTGAGCAGTTTTGAAGGGTCGACAACAACCTCACTATCCGAAACATATCGCAATCCCCTCCGAACCACTTCTTTCGAGGACAAACCCATCCCAAGCCGCCAAGATGGTCCAGACATACAGCATCCTCGGCCGCCAGGTCGGCTCGCACTACGTCAGTCATCTCCCCTGAATCATCTTGTCGCCCCATTGTCGCATCTACTTCGACACGTTCTGGCGACCGCCACCCCCCAGTAACCGAACGATCAATTGACTGACACATGTCCCTGAACAGCTTGCCATGGGCGTCCTGACCGCTCTCTTCGGTGGTACCTACGCCGCCGTTGGTGGTGGCAGCAAGGCCTCGGCTGCCGTCAAGACTCCCCCGATCAACGCATCCAGCTCCGACGAGGAGAGCTTCATCAAGTGCGCATTCTCCGAACCCACGCTGGCAACCGCCGCAGTTATACTCACATTATACACACAGGAACTTCCTGGACCAGGCGAACAAGGACGAGAAGGCCAAGCACTAGACTACCGGCATTGTATGAATTGATGGGTTCCGGGTCGACCTGAGAAGGGTTACTGGCTCGGCTGTACATGTATAGACGCGGTTATATCGGAAGAAGCATGATCATATGAATCAAGCACCGAGTTCTGAGCACACTTTCGAATACCATCAAACCTTTCTCGAGCCATTGACTCTTGGATTCTTTTACTGGGATGTGCGGCATTTCAACTGGCGCCGGAACAAACTATTGACATTCTAGGTACGATGAACCAACACACGACATCTCCGGACCGGCAACTTTCGATATCCAACGAGACACAAGAGCAGTTGAATGCCGTTTTCTCGCAGCGTCTCGATCGAAACCTTAAACTTCAACTTCTAATGGCTTGCCCTCAATTGGATACCATCGAACGGCTCTTGAGTTGATTTGCAAGGCTTGAGAGAATTTGAGCTTGGGGGTGACCGAATGGAATACGATGCGGTGGACTGAGGAATGAGGGAATTCAACACCGCCACTCGTGTCCCAGGATCCATCGAAGTTCGAGTTGCCGATATCGGTGTTCCTTTGCCAATCCGGTCCGAGTTGGCTGTCCGTAAGCAATCCTGCAAGCAATGAGCCTGTTGAAGTCGGCTACTTTGTCCATAACTACACGATCCGATTTTGGCGATTTCCAATGCACTGATGTGGCTGTCCTTGCGATAATCACTTGTTCTTCCTTCGTCCTCGTGGAACTCGTCGAATAATGCATAGCGACGTATACTACCTAATGTGTGCAGTCGTATGGGCTTCACTTTGACATGACAGCTTCGCAGAGCCCAGATCATGATAAACTTCATGTTTAGATCCCACTCACTGTTGACCGGCTTGGTCGTGTCCAACGTCCCAATCATAATCAACCAGCGGGTCAAGAAAACAGATAATGACGTCGTGGAAGGGTCTTCGAACCTCCAGCCAATGGAGTCGGGGCCGGTGAGTCTTTACAGCCTCAGTTGTGCGAGGATTTGCAGCGAAAGTTATCCATTGTAAAGTAAAACAACAGCACATCTGGTTTGCCTAGCAAAAATTACCTTGACAGTGAGGTCTCCGCGGAGAAGTCACCTCAAGGTCCTTACAACTTGGCCCTTTCTCTCACTTTCCATGTATGCTTCAGCTGACGAGAACAGAGTGATGCGACAACGTGCCTAAATGAAGCTTGCCGCAACCATGATCACGAGAGAGGGGAGGAAGGGTCGATGTAGTATCCGGGACCCTCGATACCTTTTCCTCTGCTGAACTTACACGGAGTTACGGGAATGCCACACGAACATAAGGCCGAGTTACCGTCAGTAGACTAAGACATTTCAGATATTGTTGCCGATTTGTCTATTCTACTCTAAGAACTTTGAGCCACCCTTGTTCGGTTGAAGTCTATTTGGGATTGGGCAGAGGGGCACAAGTGCTATCCTTGCGAATTGGCCTGGCGAATCAACCGAAACAGCGCTCATCATATGTCTTGACAATTATGATAACATGGATACCTTGTTCGTCGGCCTGATGCACAAGAATACTGTTCAGATGATTAATCTCGTGATATTCACAGGTCAAAAAAGAGGCTGCATACTTGAGCCTGGCAGCCGTACCTTTGCCCAACTCTGCCATATGTCGTAGCGATGCCTCCCTGTCTTTTTCTATTCTTGAAGGCCTCGGGAGTCTCCCTGCTGGGTTTCGACCTTGAATGATTACCATACATTTACTAGTTGACTAGCATTTTTGGAGGGGAAGACTTCAGGCGGCACCTTTGCCATAATTATCACCAGACACCCTGCCATGACTGCATTATTCACATCAGCATTACCGCACACCGCATAACTTCTCATGAAGTTCTGTAGGGAAAGTGCACGATTTAGTGTGTCACATCATCTCAAGATCACAAGTCGATAACATAGATGCATGCGTGCCTCATTGACGGGGTCTGACCAAGCCAAAGGATAGAATTATGGTTCAAGACATGATCGCTTTTGGCGCATGACAGACTTCGGGTGCCTGACATATTATTAATGAACGGATCCCAAAAGTGGATTGTGTTTATTATATCTACCAAGGAAAAGATATAATGCGGTTCGTCGAAAACAATTCTTGGCGGCTCAATGGTCTTGAGCAGATGGCGCGCACGACTATCTAAGACGATTCGTTGCCCCTTCATACCATCATGTCCTTGGATTTAGTCTTTCAGACCGCTTGAGTGAGTTAAAAAGATGTCTACAAGCTATGCGTCTAACAATAGTCCTTGTTTTATGGGCGACCCAGGTCGGTCCCGGCTGGGCAAAATATGCACACAAAAATGAGCTTCGCCGAGTGCCAGGCAATGACACACAATTGAAATCGACTCAATGTTCTAATCTTACTCGCACCTATCTGACGTTATATATGACGACGTTCATCACAACAATCACGTCTAGAGAAGCAAATGGAAGCCCGCAAGTTGGCACCACGAAAGTCGCAACAGGCTACGATGGTAAGTATGCCAATCTACTGCACCAGTTGAGATTGGGACCCTGATTGACACGTACTGACATTCTGCAGCATCAATAGGATCTAGACATGGACACGGTATTTCGAGTCAGCCAAGTCCTTTCAATCCTTATGGAGTCCATTCTCCTCATACTAGTATGGTTGGGGAAGAAAATGACAATGGTTTGACCATGGCTATGGTTACGAAAGTTGTGACGACTGACAGCCATGGGGTGAAAAGTACTATCACTCTCACATTAACATCAGATATCAAGTCTGATGGAGTCACCACGACTATGTCGACTTCTTCTTCCCGAACTCCCGGGTCTCCCTCAAGTGCAAGGGTATCTACAACGACACCTATTCTCACCACAACAATCAGTCCCCCAATAAGCATCGTCACATCAATAGAGTCAGCCACGCGTACAGAAACTTCCAGCTTGTTGAGTACGTCAGGGATGCCAATAGAGGAAGCAACGATGCCTTTCGTCATCCTTGGCTTGCAACTTGCAACAGAGAGTGCCCCGGTCACAAGCACTGCCGCGCCCATTCAGAGACGTCAGTCGAAATCCCTCATCAAAGGATATGTTGGTGTAGAAGCTGAAACGATCACTGGCATCTGCGGAAGAGCCATTCTCTTTCAAAGAAAAGGTGGGCAGTTAATCAGGGGCCGTCGACCAATCTCGGTAGATCCCGGTATTGCCTTCATCGATATAGCGACTTATTCGGTGGGAAGTCTCAGCACCGAATTTTCTATTGAAAATGGCCTGCTTTATTGGAGAAACTCGCAATTCTTTGGCGGTTTCGCCAGATTCTGTTTGGCTAGCAGAGGAGTTATTTATGCCCTGTTTAGCGATGCAGTCATTGAAAACTGCGTCATCATCAATCTTGTTGTATTTGAAGGTGAGTTGTGGCACAAGAGTATCAATGAGTATAGTATACTAATGACGCTTGACAGAGGCTCAGTGTCAGGACCTCGTTCCCGTTTCCACAATGGGCCAAAGCATAAGCCCAACGATTAGTTTACTGGATACTCATTCTTCTTCATTAAGCATACCGAACTTGGCCACATCTATTTCGATGCCCACAGATCCGAGGTCAACAAGCAGCGAGCAGTTTTCGGAGACAAATTCAATTGATTCGCTTGAGACTTCATCCCTTCTGCTCAGCACTCCGGAGACATCAAGCGGACTAGGTAATACTGTTGATGGGGACTCGACCTCACAATCTGGAGTTTCGTCATTGAGTTTGCCGCCGCTTCCATCTACCGCTATCTCGCCAGCGGTCTCCAATGTAACGACTTTTGAGTTTACCAACTTGTCTTCGACCACAAGTCTAGGATTATCGTCCATGGAACGCAGCCTTCTGCCTTCCTTGACTACCGGCCTTGTATCAAGTGATTCGCCAATTAGTGCAACCCAGGTTGATGCCACTGATATCAGCACAGGAAGCACAAAAATCAGTCCAAATATCATATCGGAGCTGTCTACCATCCTGTCCGAGCCACCAATCCAATTCTCAACAACTGATACGACGAGCAGTATCGATATAAGTACCGAGAAAACGGGCACAACTAAGAGCAGCATCTCAGCCACCAGCTTGGTAGTTTCTCTGATCTTGTCCAGCTCGGCAACTTTATCCAGTGATACCTCAAGCTTCACGTCACAAGATTGGACTTTCGTATCTTCAACTATACTCACCATGGATGGCCAACAATCCAGCTCTGTGCCAATGATTTCTCCAATCTTGACAAGTAATACAGAGACTGGGCCGCTGAGCTCATCTTTAGATCTTGACTCACCTTCCACCGCGAGTGATGGCTCCAGTTCACCCTTGACAACTGAAAGCGTAGCTACAGATTCGACGCTATCCAGTCTCTCACTATCTTTGACCACTTCTCTCCCGGCTTCGGAAGAGAGCCAATCAACGATCTTGGAAAGCATGCCATCGTCAAGCTCAGATTTCCCCACCACTGAGTTATCCAGGTCAGAAAATCCAAACACGAGCGGAAACATATCGATCACAGATGTACGCGAGCCTTCCACCACAAATCCAACGAGCTCCACCATAACCCCGGAAAGTACACAATCATCTGTCCTCACCTCTGATGTTACTTTGACTAGCAATCAAGCAACGAGTATTGAAACATCCATGACCCATGGCGCTACCATGATTTCAGAAAATCCGAGCAACACCTTTATCTCCAAATTCTCCTCCGAATCCCTGACTCTATTCATTACATCGTCTCCGGAATTATCTAGCACTTTAGATTCCGCTAAGATATCAGGTCCTGAATTGACCTCTGTCATCGTTACGATATCTGAGCCTAGTACCACTAACCAAAATACCATACTGTCGTCAACCTTGCCATCGACGAGCACGCTATCGAGCATCACTTCGGTCCTCGAGCCCTCGGCATTGATTACCACCAACATCATACCAACCTCGACCACTCTTGAAGCTAGCTCAGAGTCAAGTGCCATCTCCAGCAGAGTTTCGATCATAGTACCAAGTCTTGAAGTATCCGAGGAGTCCACTACCCTGCCATCGTCGACCGTCGACGAAAGCTCGCTATCGAGCGCTGCATCGAGTGTTGAGTCGGGCATTATTTCGAGTATCTTCTCAAGCGTTGGTGTAACAGAAACGACATCCAGCACCTCAGAGATCAGTCTGCCATCAATGTCTTCCATTGGCTTTGACTTTGCCTCAGACCTCAGCCCCACCGCGTCGAGCTCGGACTTCATGTCACTTACTAGCGGTCTTCTATCATCAACTATGTCCGACACGACTATCATCACCAGTGCAGTGGTTAGCGATACATCTGATGTTATATCTAGCCGCACAACCAGTATTTCAGGCATGGAAGAATTTTCCGAAATCAGTAGTCTATTGTCGTCAATTTCTACAGCGGAAAGCGACCTTTCTTCAAGCCTTTCTATCTCAACATCCGATACCATGTCTATTAGTAACAACACGACTTTGAATACATTGCCAATAACTGATTCGAGTGGCCTATTATCATCTATATTTCCGAGGGAGAGCGAAACTTCCAGTATTATACCCGGTACTACATCTGATCTTGAGACTACTGTTACTTCAGACATTGGGTCTCCGGTTCTGTCGACAACATTCAGCTCAGTGCCAACATTGGTAACGAGTGACGTAGCGCCAACGTCTGATTTGACATCTTCGATCCCAAGTTTTCTTGACACATCAGTATTGATAACAACTGCGACCACGACCAGTGATACTATGCCAGAGAGTCTTCCTACTGAGATGTCTTCCGAAACCATCACAAGCGAAATCTCAACGACCTCGTTTCTCACCACAAACACTCCAATATCCCCTACTGACATATTCTCCACGAGCGGATTGCCCACAACTACAGATATTTCACAAACCATAAGCAACTCGGCTGCTGATCTTTCGTCCTCGATCACTTCGACAACAGAGACGGAGTCCTTGGCTGCACAGGCCTCTACGACTCTGCCTCCGCTCACAATTTCCGGCACATCGTCGGCCATTGATACTTCCAATATTCCAGACTCGAGTACAGAGTTCATCACGAGCGACTTAGAAAGTAGCTTAACAGATGACTTGCCGAGCATATTGGCCACGACAACTACATCACTGCTTCCCACTGACGAGACAACTTTTTCCATCGATACTACTTCTTTATTGTTTACATCTCCTTCATTCTCTTTGTCGACCAATTTGACTTCGATCACATCCACTCCATCAAGATCTGAAAGCCAATTTGGAAGCAGTTTCACAACCATACCAAGCCTCGTCACTCAAAGCTTGAGTACAGAGCTGGAACCTACTTTGTCGACTACAGTGCTACAACCGACCACCAGTTCCTCTACGGATGCAACGACATCGCTGCAGATTTCAGACCCTACAAGCTCACTTTCACCTACAACGATCAGCAATGATCTTACTTCACTTTCGTCGTCATTATCAAATTCAGCCACAAGCGAACTTGAAAGTACAATAACTACGGCCCCAACGACGAGCTCTAGCAGCACGGAATCGAGTACGAGCAATCCCTCAAGCACTATTTCCAGTGTCGCGAGTAGCACAACTGTCGTTACTCCACTTCCGACTGATAGTAGTCTATCAACTAGCATGGCCGAGACACTGACTACTAGCTCCTTACTGAGTACAATTTCTTCTATATCTAGCAGCATTTCGCAGTCCACCACCTCGTCAGATTCTCCCACGTCTGTTACTGAAGCCTCTACGACGAGTCCCTCTTCAAGCATCCTCTTGACAACGTCGGAAATTTCTTCGCCAACTTCAACATCTCTTTCCATCTCGCCATCTACTTCAGACTCTTCTTCGACATCATCGACCACAACTTCGGCTTCGAGCTCCATTTCAGAAACTAGCCGCACTTCGACGACGGAATTGTCAACCACATTCATAAAGACTTCC